AAAATGTATCTATAGGTATTGACCCATACCCATATGTTAGTATTGAATAATGATCATTGGATACAATTGGTGAAAAAAAATACATCTATTCACATCTATTTCAACTATCTACCGACTGGGATGATCATTGGTGAACTGGGATGATCATTATGAATATTTCTGAAAAATTCAGCAAGTTGTGAATGGACACAACAAATACTGATTTTGTGGGCGGGAAATGATCGTTTTCCTGGGATGCATATCCAAATGAGAGGCCAACCAGATGGGTCAAGTCATTGCAGTTTTATCATGGACCCATAGCATCCCATAGCCGTTGGACCCGGGCTCTTTTTGTGCAGAAATCTGTAGAGATCTCCCAGGAACGAAGCAGAATGGTGACATGAGGATGACACTATGAAAAACCTAAAAGTATTCCCTGATACAGATTGAAAGTGGTAAGTCAATGAGTTTGATATGTGTTGATTAGGTGTCACTTTTCCATGCCGTTCCTATCGTTCGCGGGACCCTGAGATGGCTGATGTTCAAACCTTTATCAACCAAAAGATGTATGGCCTTTGCGCAAATCCAGGGGCTAGCATTGCAGGCGTCAGCCAACCTCCAACTGCCGAAAAAATATTTAAAAAACTAAGACCATCTGAAAAGGAAAAAACTTGAGAAGCCTTTCATGTGGATTCAGGGTGAATCGCCCCTTTCAACAGGCCTTATTTTTGGGTCAATCAAACTTTCAACGAATCTCTGCCGCAGGAGGCAACCAAGAGCCGCAGTGAGGAGCTGGAGGCATCCGGGCATTGTCGTTCTGCTTGATGCTGATTGCGGTGGTGTCGTTGTTTCGTCGTTGTCATCATGGTTGTTGATGGTGATGGTGACGTTGATGATGATGATGATGATGATGATGAAAGTGGTGGTGATGGTGATTTTGTTGATCACACCTTCATATTTCTGACAGTTTCCCCACATCTTTCTCACCAAAATCTAGGCTTTGAAGAAGGCCCAGGAGGTGTTGCAGGAGAAGACGGGCGCAGCACAGGCATGGGATGTGACCCAGATCTTGGGGGTTTTCGTTGGGAATTCAACAAGAATTGGGGATATACACCTTCCAATACTGTGAATAGTGGCAAAAAAAGGTTGGCTTTGTCAAACAAAAAACTGGATGATGTTCCAAGAAACGTTTTGCTATGAATCCAATGTTTGGGGGCTTTAAGCCCAAGAAACAGGATTGAGATTTTCCGGAAAAATTGAGCGCCACAGCTGAGATTGCCAGCAATGCCAGCAATGACATTCCAGAAACAGTTCCACAACATCGGTGTCTGTGGCAAGTACCTTGACGTTTGTCTCATGTTCCCCCCATTTTTTGGACTCGCCAACAAAAGATACCCACCTACACAATCCCACCTAACAAGCACCGCCCAGAAATCCGGTTTAGTCTGGGGGGTTGTTTGTTGATTGAAAAATCCATAATAACAACCCATCACATCTTATTATATCCGGCACAAACCAAATAAAACTCTATCATTTGTTGTTTCTGCCCATCTTAAGGCCATAGTATGAGTTTGACTGAATTAAGTATCCCAAAATCCACCGGTGAATCATAATGTTCCCATTAAAATGGAGATTTAGGGGGTATTACCAACCAAATTTTAGGCGCACCCAGATATCATAATATGCAGGTTTGATGTATGATATCTCAGTACATCCCAATCAATATCCCCAGTTTGTCCCCATTATTGTTGGTTAACAATACCCTCCCATTGTTGTTGGTTCATTGACTTGCCCTTGAGGCCGGTGTCTACGGCGCCGCCATGTTCCTTCAGGCACCCGCACCGAAACGTGGGGGAAACTGCTGGCAGAACTGGAGGTTTCGGAAACTCAAAATGTTGAGATGATCAATGCATTTGGTTGCTTGTGTAGTTGTTTTACAATTCAATCCTATGTCAAAACTATCATGATGCGAAGTGTCGAAATATATTAAATATATGTCCGATGGATTATGATGATGAGATGTTTGAACCACCAGTGGAATGAGCTCAACTTCGGAGAAGTTTGCAGCATCCCACAGGCTTCCCTGATTTGTTTGGTGTCAGTTGTAACCTCCAGGTGGCCACTGGTTTGTTTGGATATGAGCTCACGACCTGGATTTGTCGACGTGGTGTACTCCAAAATCTTCAAATCTTGATATATGTTAATGGGAATATCATTTGGATTTAGTAGGCTTTACTGGAAAATAATGAAATAATGCTTAATATCCAAGAATAGTGATTAATCATGGTATGAATATCGATGTACCCGGTAATCAAACATGGCTAGTTGGAAAATCCCCCACCATGTAAGATGTGGAAAACTGACCATTGGACCATTGGAAAACTGGGGCTACCGGGGGTACCCTGTTTCACCCTGTTTCTGGTCAAGCCCCACTGATCATTGAACCCCAAGCATTTTGGATCCAAAATCAATGGATGATTAAATTGGATCCAAATTCACATATCAAAATCCTCGAAGCAAATTGGTTCCATTTCCCCCTTTTACATTCCCCACGTCATTGACTCAACATGGGCAGTTCGGCTCCCATCGTCAGGTGAGGTCGTCAGGCACCATTTCATCCGTCCGGTGAGAAAATATGACCAGAGAAAGGTGTGAAAATCCAGAGGTTTTTATCACGTTCCATATTCATATTTATCATATTGATTCATATTGCTATTTCGTAAGGGTATGCCCCAATTTTCGGATAGTGATAGTTGGCTGAACCAAAATGGTATCGCCTCAATTTTTTTTCAGCCCAGGGCTTTAATGTTCCCAGGTTGACTCATTCTCCATGGATGATTTTGCTGATGCGATTTCTGATTTCTAATATTTCTAGTTGGTTCTCATCGGGGCAGGGAATTCCATGTGTTTGGACTTGTTCTGCATTGGAATTTCATGGTCCATCATGGTCCATCATGGTTCCATCGGCCATGCGAAGTGGAGACACCTTGGCCGGATTCAGACCTCAACGTGTTCCATTAATGAATCTTTTGGTGCTCAAAAAGACCCAGGATATCCCAGGATCCAGAAAGCAACAAAGAAAAACATGTTACAATGTTTCCTGTGGCCAAAATAAAGTGGATTAAATGATTAAATCATGAACAGCATGTTTCCAGCTGTTTATCCAAAAATATCCAGAAAAACGGGCCCTGGCATCCCGTATCGCAACGGAAGCGCCTGAAAGGCGCTTTTGAAGTGGTGCAAAAGGTGCGAAGCCTCGCAAAGAAGGCGCGCATAAGAGGGAATCCTGGGGGAAGTCCATGAAAATCCCCTATGTTATTATGTTGATATAATATATAGTTCATAGTTCATATTGATATATTGATTGTTTATAGTTCATATTGATATTAATTGATTGATATTGATTGATATTAATTGATAATTAATGTAGATAGATTCGTATCAATGTTGAGAAAGGATTGAAAATATGTCCTGGTTTGAATCCACTGGATGGACAATGTTGAGGGGAAGACCTTCTGCCAAAGTGAGAAGAATGGGCAAATACAGAGATGCTTATGATATGCTTATTACATACTGAAAATATAAATTAAGTACATTATATACTCGTTGTCATTTGGTGAATCTGCTGTATTAGTTTTTTTGACATTGCAGGCCTATGCCCACATCTTTTATTGATACTACACCATCCAACCTGGTCGGTCAGTGGTTTGAATCGTAGAATGCACCTGCCTGAGTCTTGAATTGCTGTTTAGACCCAATGTTTCTGTTCGTCTCAATTTTTCTGCCCAAGACTTGAATTCCTTTTCTTGTCTTCTGCCAACATGTGTTTGTTTGAATATGTTGTTTTCCTCTGAAGCTGGGCATCCAAAAAGGTAGGACAATATCTATCTCCAACCACAGGGACCCACACGACAATAGATGGCGAAAATTCGCCCTCGTAAAGCTACTGTTGGTCGTTAATCAGCCCTATCCATGAGCCCAATAATTATTTGAATCATGAATAATAAGCGCGTTGTAGGAAACCATTGATGATAAACAGAGTATGACACGGGGGCTTATTGACCTTTAAACCTCATTATTGGGTGGGTTATATTGGGTTATCCCATTATACACCCACTGGGCTTGAAACTGTTTGTTTATCGGTTGAATCACCATTTTTTTAGCCATTTGACTTACGTCCAACAAGCACTCTGACAAGAGCAATCTGGGGACCACGGAGGGTTTGAATCTCAGCCTCTGAAGGCTGGCTCTTCAAACCTCGAAAACTTGGCCTCGAACATCGAATCCCTTCTCCAGACTCGTTTGGCGGCCAAACATCATGAGATTTTCGAAAGGGAAACATCGGATTCGAACCAACAGAAAAAGATGTACTAGTACGTAAAAACCTGGCGGAATCGAAGCAAAAAGAGTTGGGATTGATGGATGGCACTTGAAGATACTTGGAGGTAAATTTTGTGGATTCAATTCACAGCAAATGATGATTCAACTTTGATTCAACCGATAAAAATTTAAAAAGAGAGGTTCAAGCATCAATGCAGTAATATGGATAGAACATGATAGAACCAATCAGTGTTTTCGAGCATCCAAAAGAAATACGGAGATCACAAACCAAATTGAGGATGTGTCAACTTTGGATTACCAGTTTTCACAAGTCTTCTGAGAAGATATGCTAGTCCCCTCTAAGACGATTCGTTTCCAGATTCTGGGAAGGAGCAAACTGAAATTGTAAAGTGGTAGGACTGCAACGGGCGGGCACAACATGTGTATACATGCATACAAATAAATGCAGATGGATAAATGCAGATTGTATAGCATTGGATACAAACTGATATGGATCTGTGTTCAACCAAAACGGATCCTAGTCAGTCCTGGTTGTATGGAAACCTGGAATCACAACAGTTCCCATTGGTCGCACTGCATATGGACGCTTTCTTTCCAGTTGCCCCACTTGGTTCACCAGAACGGAATGGATTCCAATAAACCGCTTTCAAAAAGACTGATCGTGATAAAAGGAACCCACAAGATTGAATACATCTTAGCCATTTTGCCTAAATCATCCGGCCAAATAGTAGCAATCCACAAATGGGCGCCGGTCATGCAGTACTTCTCCGAAGCGATGGCAATGCTGTGGCTTGTGGAGAGAATGCTCATGCAGAATGCGACATTCCACCTTTGGATGCCGGAATGTCATATATCCAGGTTTCTGTGACGGCAGTGCTGTAGTTTATGGTGAGAATCCTCATGGAGAATTCACCATTCCAACTTTGGATGAGGGACTGTCATATACTCAGGTTTCTGTCGGCCAGAGTTCTCGTGGCAGAAGTGATGGCAGGGCTGTTGATGGTGGAACGGAATCTGCAGCAAAGCGTCAAGTTCTGATTCCACCAGGGATTTGTTACATTGCAGATATTGCAGATGTGTCAGTTCGCCGAGACCTTGTGTTGCAACTGGATGTTGTTTGTCAAGATGACGCTATGCTGCTGACTTTGTCTGGTTTGAGTGGGGAAGAAGTGATGCGTTTGAGTGCGAGCCCATTTGATTCTGCCTGGTATACTCACAAGCGCATTGCGCTTGAATTGAATGTTCCCGTCCAAAGTGTTCGAGTGATCTTGCCCGACGGACAGTTGTTGGCCGGAGTCTGCCGCGCAAAGCCAGCGGCCAGCCTTGCAGATATCAGTGAAACTTGCAAGCGGTTGCGTCTCACCTAGTTTCAGAGCGGACAGTGGATAGGAAAATCCGAGGGCCAAGTAATGACCAGTCCTTTTGGGCGGGTTTAGTGGGGCCAGGGCCGTCCATCCAAAAGTGGTGCCCGCCAAAATGGATGAGATTTTCGGTGCATCTTCAACTAGATCAAATCCCTCGACCCCGAGGCCACGGGGCGGACGTCTTTGCGAAGGCCTCCACGGCGCTGTTCCGGACATGAGTTTTTCTGGGATTTTTTTGTTGATTTATAGATTTATAATGATTTATATGAAACTCGTTTTAGCTGCTTGGAACAACTTCCGCCCAGCCCGGACCCACTTGGCTCCATCTTCGGCCCAACTTGGCTCCAACATGCCGCAACTTTGCCTCAAGTTGGACCGTTTGGGGCAACTTCGGCCCAAGTTGAGGTCCACATGGTTTCAACATCAGGGACGCGGCCGGCCCAATATGAATTCCTCAAAGCACCCGTTTTCACCCCACGTTTTTTCTCCGCGTTAATGTGTCTCCGTTGGGCCCAACTTCCTGCGAAGCTGTCGCCAAAGGTATGCAAGTTGCGCCACTTTGAACGTGTCTTGGACCTCCATGCGCATCATATGGCTTCAGTTTGGGGTGCATCCGGATCGATTTGGACCCAACTTCAGCCCCGCCTGACCCATTGGCGCCAACTTGGGCTCCAGTTGCGTCCAAGATAGCGCAACTTGGGCCAAGTTGGGCGCCTTTGGGGGCAGCCCGGGCCCAACCCGGCCAATTTTGCGGACTCAACGCGAAAAACTGAAAACTTGCAATTTCCAACGTTTTTTGGCTTTGATGGGGCATGTTGCCCACATTGGTCTTGTCTTGGGCCCAACTTCCACGGCAGATGCCCCCCACACAGGACCAAGTTGCGCTTACATCCAAACATGCCCACGCTGCACCATGTTGGACCCCAGTTGGGCTCAAGCTGGGCCTAAGTTGGAGCCAACTGGCCCAAGTTCGGCGCAAGTTACGCCCAAGCTGGGCCCCAGTTTGACCCCAGTCGGCTTTGGTTGGGCCAAGAACGCCCGCTCCGTTCCTCTCTATCCGATTCTCTGGGTGCGGGCGGTTCTCGTCGCGAATCGACTCGAGTAAAAGAATCAAAGACACTGATGATTTGCCCATGCAATCTTAATGAAAATTTGCCTTTTCAGATTCGCTGACCAAGACATATCATTCCATATCAGAATATACATTATACACCAATAGTACCCATGCCGCCTGTAGCCATTAACATCCCATCAACACCTTCTATGTCCCAGCGACCTCCACAGGTAAAGGATCTCATTCAGAACATGATCACCTCGCGCAAGGAGGAGGCAACCTTCAATCGCTGGATGTTTTGTTTGGAGGTTTCCTGAAATGGGGTACTCAAAAATCATCCAAAATTTGTTAGTTATTTTCAATGGGAACACCAATGGTTTAGGGCACCCCTCTTTTTAGGAAATTTCCATTTCATGGAAAACTCCCGAATAAAAAATAGATGAAAACTGCTGGGATAACCCCATGGATTGGAAACCTCCATTGAAAAATGGTGTCTTGATTGATGTGGTGTTTTTTTCTGTGTGTTGGCCTGGTTTGGGGCGCCTGTGTTTACACATGTTCCTTGTTTCGTTCAAATCATTTGGCTGTCTACAATCCAAGCACTGTGCAACGTCTTTGCATCTTCAGAATGTAAAGGTGTCATTATTGTTTGGAACTATAATGATCCTGAGATAGAATATAAAATTTTCAAAGTTATTCCAATTTCGGGCACAATTGTGGGAAATTTAGATGCCTTCTGTATGATGGTTACAGAATGTTACAAACATGTAGAAATATCGAGAGCATTCATAGATCAGCAAAGATGTGTCCAACGGTGAATTTTGCAACGCCGTCACTTTTTTGGGTAAATTCATCCAACAACGGAAGAGATGGGTTTGTGTTCCAACAAAATTGACTAAACTTAGTGACTAAACATGAATCTCTGTTTCCCCCACAAAAAAACGAAACTGGTTTCTCCCATGAGATCACCAAAAAGAAAAACTGTTCTGGTTGAAAGCCTTGCCCAGGCGGCAGCCGATGCCACCAAGAAAGCCTACTGCGATGAGGAGCAGACCAAAACCAATGCGCCTTGGGAATATCTGGAGGAGATGGAGCATGAGATCAATAAATCCAAAAATGGAGATGTTTAGCATGAAAATTTTGGGAATGAATTGGGCTCACCATCAGATTTGGGGGATCAAACCAAGAAAAATAAGGGGTCCTGTGATGTGGATTTGGCAAAAAAATGGCAGGTTTTGTCACAATGTATGTCTATGATTACCGGCAAAATGATGATAAGGCCATGGATAATTGGTATGTTTGATTGCACAATTGATTGGGTTGGATTGGTCTCAACTGGTTGCATATGGTTTGATATAGTCTGATGGGGTTTTGATGCGGATATGGGGATGAATCAATACGTATGAATTGCAAGGATATGGTAACTTTTTAATGTATAGAATTAAACATCCCCTATTCTGAATCATCCCAAGAACTATCAATACTATGGGCTTATGGGACATGTTATAATGGTGATAACCGATATGAGGGTATATAGTGGGTTCTAATCACTTGATTATTCTGTGTTTTGGGGGGTTCTCGAGACTATGGTTTTATGGTCGTTGACATCTCAAGACATTCGATGTTGTTCATTTCTTCGGAATTGGGCATTTAGGAAAGAAGCAAAATGAGGGAAATATCCAGCAGATGGAAAAAAAAATGGCCAAGATCCCAAGTTCCATCGGTTCAATCATCGTTCCGTTCCTTCCGTTCCCGTATCGCAAGGCCAAATTGGAAGAGCTCACTGGTACTAAGGAGAGCCTGTCCGTGAAGGCGGCCTGGGTCGCCTCTGCCATGGAGCATTGGTAAAATGGTAGATTTTCAGCCATGCACAACTAGGTAACTAATAACCATCTACCATGGAATAAAGATGCATATGAAATGCATATAATAGGTCTAAGTCCAATATAACTATGTAACTATATCTGAATTATTCTTTACATCTTCATCCATATCTGGGGTGAGTATACTCAATGTTTCAGCAATATTTTGGGAGATCGGTCGGTCGGTCAGTCAGTCAGTCAGTTGAAGGCACCAATCAGAAAACTTGGAGTAATACCCGGAAAACAACTGGGAAGTTATGGATTTTGCATGGAACAAATGGAAATTCACTGGCAGGTTTAAGGAAAAATCGGGTAATGAAATCAGACAAAAGCAACGAAATTGAGGGATAAAACCTATGCTGGGGATGCTGGGGTGGATATCACCAGACAAGAATGGGAAGTAAAAACAAAACAAAAATGAAGTTGGTTGCAAATGTTCCCGCATCAATCACAACAGATATCTCCCTCAATGTCCAATGCCATCGTTTGCCTCTGCTTTGGAATAGGTAAAATGGTATCTCCAAACTGGAGAGGGAGATAGTAGACATCACTAGGTAGATAGTAGGCATTCCAAAAGGGGTCATTTTTCATGGGGAAACCAATGGCGCCCCAATTTTGACATTGGGAAAGGCTGGCAGATCCCTGATTAGGTGGACAAAAAGAGTTCCGAAGCCGAGACCTTGAAAAGTCCCGCGTGCCCAGTGTTTTTCTAGGGCTGAAGAGCGGTCGTATGGTCTCCAGATATCTCCAGTGTTACTGATAAACTAGAGATTGAAGCAGATGTTGTGTCTCCAATTCCCTGCTGTCTGCATCCAAGTTTTGGTTTCTGGCATCAATTTTTGAAGATAAGACCGGCATGTTTCCTTCTCCAACTAAAATGGGATATGATGGGATCCCAAGGGTGAAGTGGATACGCTGCAATTGGAGATGTCCTAAAAGGGTTGAAACCCATGGTGATTTGATGGCTAGCCATGAGGTGAAGCTGCAACCCTGCAGAGGGAGTTGGCCGATTTGTCGAAGCTACAGGCGCGAACGCGTGGAACATCCTGAAGCCATTGAGTATATGAAATGAAGAGCAAAATGATGTAAAATGAGTTGATACTGAAGGCTTTGACGGTATTTTGGGGGCCAAATGGGTTGACCCATAGAATTCAAAGTCGACCTAGCTACAGTGAGTGGACGAGGGGATATTCCCATTTGGTATATGGCCACCATGAGGTCATGAGAGTCACCATGTCTGTATCCTAGGTATTCCTAAGTTGGGCCTGTAACATCCTGTATCCTAGGTATTCCTTATTTTTGAGTTTCTTTGGGAGCGGGGACCATGGTGGCCACACGCGCAAGATCGAGATGGACGAGACTCGAAGGGAGGAGAGTCCGGCAACCCTGGAACCATAATGAGCTGTGGATAACTGCGAAAGCATGATCTTATGTCAAATGTTGGTATGGAAGATGGGAAACGATTGGAACTCATCCTCCGATTTCAAATGAATGTCCCCACTTAAAGGAAAGTGAAACCCACCGTTGACTAGTGCTTGGCCTGAATTATATGGTACATTCTAATTGGATCAGATAGGGGTGGAACAGAAGCTCGTGCTCTTCCGTGGCCGTTTGACCACTTCGACTTCTGAATTCGGAACCAGGGTCCCTGATCCCAGGTGCGGCCTTCAAGAAGCAAAAAGCGGACCTGGAGCAGGGCCTGGAAGGTCACCAGGGACCCAAAAAAACCATGGTGATGTTGTTGTTTTCCCAGCTAAAACGGGGGGAATTCTTAGGAAAACATATAGGATATGGGATAATACTGGAGATATAGCAAAATAATGAGATGTACCCCTTCTGGTAATTTAACAGTTTGCAAACTGGAAGCCATGGCCTATTTAATTCGATGATTTACCTGAAATGCTGATTTTCCATAGCTATCTCAAATAATCAGAAGGTAGATTCAGCCAAACAAATTTGGCAAACCCGTCAAAAATGTGGTGTAAGTATTGGGTAACCTCTATAACTGTGTTTGATTGGTGGTTTCAATCATGATCCTCAATATTCCACCATATTTATAAGGGATAAGTGTTCCTAGATGACTTCCATATGTTTGGGGATGGTGTGAAACCAACAAGTAGATTAGATGGTGATGCATGATGTATGTATACCCAAGATCATTGGTTGATGGCTTCTATCTTTACCACTGGGATGATCCGAAATGACTTTCAGGAGCTTTTTTGTAGGCCATTTTGGGGACTGGGATCTGGGAACGCCCCACTGTGCTTGGATGGACTCCTGACGGATCCCAACCTTTCCCCGGCGCAGGCGTTCGCTCGGCTCTGTCGGTGTTGCGTGACTACTACGTGGGGGGATCCGGAGGGCGTCCGCGGCCCTTGCCGTGGATGTTTCTGGCACTCATAGCGAGCAGCAAATATCTGTAGATAGGGACAATCTATGAGCCACTCCAACTATGGCAATTGCTTACATCATATTATATATTCATTATTTTACTCATAATACCAATGGTATCAATTATAATAGAAATCAGCGAATGTGGTGATTCAATCAGCTAATACATTGATCTTCCAAGCGGCTTGTGGCTTCGCCGGATGGATCCAGCTGACCTGAGTCTCAGGAATCCGGAGCGTGCGGACCCCAGGGGTCGGTCGGACCCGCAGATGCCTTTTTTGCCACAAGAGTTTCATCAAAGCCATCATTTTGGTCTCAAAGGGATCATCTTTTTTAAGAATGTGTTTTAATGTGTATAGTATAATATAATATAATATAATACTATATAATATTATATAATATAATATTATATTATATAATATTATATAATATAATATAATATAATATTATATTATATAATATAATATAATATTATATTATATTATATTATATTATATTATATTATATAATATAATATAATATTTATATATACACACATACAAAATCCATCAAAATCCAAGACTTACAGTACTGGTCAAAATCCTGATGATCCTTCATGTTCGATTGATGATTTCTCATCGGATCATGTTGCCTCGAGGACAAGTTTTCTGCAGCAACCTGCCCTGGGCCATTCCAAGTGCGGCGCACAGCGTATCTGGAGCGGCGATCTGATTGGATGCTTTCAATGGGAAAATAACCTATAGATGATGGTAATCTATCAATAATCTATAGATAATCTATAAATTCAAAACACATCTGCTGGTTTCAATGATCAATAATGGTTTTATCTGGTTTCAGAATGATTCAACTTGAAAAAGAACTGGTTGACAAGGTTGACCCTGAGATGTATTCATGCTAGAAAATGTTTGACCACGTTTTTCCTTAGGCCCTGCCTAATGTGTTTTTTCTCCTCTAAAGCCAATCTTGCCCAGAACAGACCACTTTGCGTCCAATATGCATCCCTAGTTTGGAAGATGCATGGGATGGTGTCGCCACAGGGACACGGCTGCCTCCACGGGCATCCTCGGGATGTTGGAGGCTGGGAAATCTGCCGATTTTTTTCGAGCGATCAAAAGATCAAAAAAAGGTGGTACATGATGTGGTAAATGATGGAATCTAATGATATCATTGCATCATTGCTATCTACCATCACCACTGTGGCCTTGCTTATTTCATTGCTTTGGGCTTCTTAGGTCTTGGAATTTCTTGCGCATCCTGATGAGTTCTGGTTGTTATGCGGGTTCGGATCCAATTTGCCGTTGATTGATGTAGGGATGATCATCCTAAATGTTGGTTAAGTTCCCGTTGTTGTTGGCGTGTTTGCCACAATGGGATCGTAGATACCTGCCTTTGTTAATGGGATGGGAACTTGCGGATTTCCCATCAGGAACATGCTGGATGTGTCGCGGATGGAAGCCTGGATGTGCCACCAATCTTATGACTTCGATTCACCGATCCCATTGCATAAGCTACATTTATTATTTGTAGATTCTACTATCATTCAAAAAGATTATGTAGAATTATCCTAAAACAGATAATCCTAAAAGTCTATATACATATAATAATGATGATAATTATCATTATTATTGCTATGATCATGCTTATACAATCATAATCATACCATTTGCCATATTCATTATTATTATCATGTTTATTATTTGTAGTTGTAGTAGTAGTAGTAGCAGCAGCAGCAGCAGTAGTACTAGTACTAGTACACTTATGTATTATCATTAATCATATTACTATTGTTACTATTTTGTTTTCAGGTGATATAGATGCTAAATAATCATATCATCATGGTGAATTTCGTTGATTTTCGAAGCGCCAGGTGGTGGAGTCGGACTTCGGCCGCAGCTTGGCGCAGACCGAGACCGTGGAAGCCACCAAGGCCGGCGACGTGGCGACGTGGCGTCGTGGGATTTCTCGGAGTTCTGCCCTGATTCCTCCGAAGGGGAAAAATAAAAAATGATGAAATTTGAGATTTGAAGGAATTTACCACGAAAAATTGAAATGTCATCAAACCTATGGGATTTGAACATGATAAATATGGATTTGACCGTGAGAAAATGCCGAATGAAGTGGTCACATTCCGAAAAAAGGAGATCTATCCTCAATTCATGTGGCCGTTGGAAACTGCGTTTTCGGACGAAATTGGTTTTGGGGGGTTCCAAGTTCCGAGAGAACTGGTAATTCGTAAGCTTTGAAACCATGGGATGGAGGTCCATGGGTGCATTGTAACAAGAGTGGGATGGAAATGATTCACAGAGAAAACGCTTTGGGTTTCTGCAGCAAGAACAAGGAATAAGGATGTCACCATGGTAATGTAGTTGTGATACAAATGAGGATCTGAACAAACCTCCCACTTTCAGACCGCAACAACAGCCCGGTCTTTGAGAGTTTAGAACCACAGAGTTTCTGGAGTTTCCGCCAAAATCGAAATCCTGGCACTAACATTGAGCATTGAGTTATACCATTGACCAGTGTAGCTGGGGTCACCGGTTAAATCTCCACGTCATGATTTTTCGGCAGAGGCGGAAGAGTATGACACCATGTCCAAGCAGAACAAGTTGACCAAGGCATGGTGGAGCCAGTCGATGATGGAACTGGCGAATGGGTGCCATGTTTAAGTTGGAACACTTTGGAACTGTCAGAAATGTTAGTCACTAAAATCGGAAATGATCAACACTAGGAGTTTTCTGAATTCTGAGTTTGGGATTAGCATTGCACTCTTTGGTCCCAAGCAACAAGTGGACCTATTAGTTGCCCGCGACCTGCGTCACTATCGCATACGAGAAGATCAGAGACTTAGTGATGCAAAGGAGGCCCAAAATGATGGATACCCAAAACCAAATTCAGTAGAATTATTGATCTGATTAGATATCATGAATTAATGGATTCAAACATTGTGGTTCAAACATTCTGAACCCTTGGTGTCGAACCACCTCGATTCTGCACGAAGCTCGTGAAGGTCGATGCTGATGGAAACCAACAGGGCAACATCCAGTGCCAGCAGTCTCCGATGATCGATTGATATTTTATGGGGTTCCTGAGATTTGATTGATAATATTGATACCAGTAGTACCCGCACGAGGCGGGGCGGAAGTTGCCTTAAAGATATATATAAGACCTTTCTCATCTATAGAACTTGCATGCGCCGTGCGCCAGCCAAGCCCGTGCGTGCGTGCACTCTGCGAAAGTGGTGTCCTGTTTCACATGTCACATTTGAAGCTCCACTTCGCCCTTCACACTTCTCACTGCACTCTTCACACTCCACACTGCACACTTCACACTCCACACTTCTCACTTCACACTGCACTCTTCCCAATCCACACTTCACACTTCACTGCACGCTTCCCACTGCACACTCCACACTTCACACTTCACACTCCACACTTCACACTGCACCCTTCACACTCCACACTTCATCTCATCTGAGCTCTTCTCACCTTATCCCAGCTCATCTCTTCTCATCTCATCTCTTCTCATATGTCATCTAAGCTTTCATGAATCACTTCCCAGTACTTCTACTAAGGAACTGGATCTCGACGCCAAAGCGACAAAAAGACGATTTTGAAGCACTTGAAAAAAAAGAAATTTTTAAAGGAAAATTACTAGCGCCAAAATTGCGAAAATCTGCTGGCAAATCACTATCGCAGCCTGGATGCAGCCACTCCAATACGATTTACAATCTTCAGCTGCAAAAGACAATAGTATTACGCATGCAGCCGCGGCACCAAGCAACCTTGACGCAGCCATTACAATGCGATCTGTGGAGACTGAGTTGCAAAGCACAATAGAACTATGTCGGAAACTGCAGCTCCAAAACCGGATCTCAACGAAAAAAAGACGATTTTGAAGCACTTTTTCAAAGGAGTTTTAAAAGGAAAATTACCAGCGCCAAAATTGCGACAATCTTCTGACAAATCACTGTCGCAGCCTGGATGCAGCCACTCCAATACGATTTACAATCTTCAGCTGCAAAAGACGATAGTATTACGCATGCAGCCGCGGCACCAAGCAACCTTGACGCAGCCATTACCATGCGTTTCGCAGCATCACGTCGCAAACCTGCACGTATCTACACACATAACAACACCAGAACACCAAATGACAACAGTCGTGCAGCCATTCCAATGCGATCTGCAAGCACAGATTCCAAAACACCCTATAACTACGCACACACAAGCACACCCAAAGCAGCTTGAAGCCACCGTTACAATGCGGCAAAAAAAAACGATAAACCGACCCCAGCCGCAACCGCCGCACAGACGAGGTACCTTTCATCGCCGGCTGCAGCCACTTTACACGGAAAAACGCAAGGATTCGTGCTCCGGCTTCCTCCCCAAAACACAGCCCTTGCAACATCATGCAGCCATTCCAATTCGATCTGCAAGCACAGATTCCAAAACACCCTATAACTACGCACACACAAGCACACCCAAAGCAGCGTGAAGCCACCGTTACACTGCGGCAAAAAAAAACGATAAACCGACCCCAGCCGCAACCGCCGCACAGACGAGGTACCTTTCATCGCCGGCTGCAGCCACTTTACACGGAAAAACGCAAGGATTCGTGCTCCGGCTTCCTCCCCAAAACAGAGCCCTTGCAACATCATGCAGCCATTCCAATGCGATCTGCAAGCACAGATTCCAAAACACCCTATTACTACGCGCACACAAGCACACCCAAAGCAGCTTGAAGCCACCGTTACACTGCGGCAAAAAAAAAAGGCAAACCGACCGCAGCCGCACCCGCCGCACAGACGAGGTACCTTTCCTCGCTGGCTGCAGCCACTTCACACGGAAAAACACACGGTTTCGTGCTCCGGCTTCCTCCCCAAAACAGAGCCCTTGCAACATCATGCAGCCATTCCAATGCGATCTGCAAGCACAGATTCCAAAACACCCTATAACTACGCACACACAAGCACACCCAAAGCAGCTTGAAGCCACCGTTACACTGCGGCAAAAAAAAAAGGCAAACCGACCGCAGCCGCACCCGTCGCACACACGAGGTACCTTTCATCGCCGGCTGCAGCCACTTTACACGGAAAAACACAAGGTTTCGTGCTCCGGCTTCCTCCCCAACTCACCACTTCCCTTCCTCACCACTTCCCATCGTCACCACTTCCCATCGTCACCACCTCCCTTCGTCACCGCTTCCCTTCCTCACTACTTCCCTTCCTCACCACTTCCCATCGTCACCACTTCCCTTCGTCACCACTTCCCTTCGTCACCACTTCCCATCGTCACCACTTCCCTTCGTCACCACTTCCCTTCGTCACCACTCCCCTTATCATCACTTCCCTTCTTCACCGCTCACCACTTCCCTTCTTCACCACTTCCCTTCCTCACCACTTCCCTTCGTCACCACTCCCCTTCATCATCACTTCCTCAAGGTCAATTTCATAGCTTCTTATTCTTTTGTTATGTATTGGTACATTATGTATTGTTATATTATGTATTGTTATATGATCTACCCCCCTTCCTCAAGGTCAATTTCATTGCTTCTTATTGGTTTGTGATGTATTGGTACATTATGTATTGTTACAGGATCTACCACCCTTCATCATAGTCAATTGCACCAAGTAAAAAGTCATTCGTAACTCGGAAATTGCTTCCCAACTTCCTTTGAATATTGATACACCATCTATATTCATCTATAGTCATTGAGTATTCATACTTTATCATACTTTATCCAGAATCTTCCCAAATTTTCAAGTCATCCTGAGCTGTATCTTGCGGCATTCCAGCTCTGGTGCTCAAATAGGTGCAGAAGGACGCTGACCAGAAGTTCAAGTCGATGCTTGGCACAACAATACATTTGGAAATGGGCAATGAGGTCCATAAATGTTGGAATAGGAAATAGGTATGCATTATATAGATAGATCATTTATATATATATATATATGAATATAGGTATATACATAAATATAAATACAAATATAGATATAGAATGATATGGATATATGATGTGTATCTATAATTATATACATCACACAGATATGATGAGTCCGCACTTTTTACCATCATCCCATGGTGTATTCACAAGCGCCCAGGAAGACGGCCATGGCCCTGGACAAGGCGGTGTGTAGGCCCAGTTTATCCCAGTGACATATGAAAAAAGGGGGAAATCATGGAAAATCATGGATTTATCCCTGCAGAAACGGGGAAAAGATGGAAAATCATAGACAATCGAGCTGGGTCTTGGGGTTGTCTATATTCTGATGTTGGAGGGGTAGCAACAGAAACTCGGCATATGAAGAAATGATGTTTTTGGCCAGGTTGATCCTCAAAGGGTATGAAATTGAGAAAGATGCAGATGAACAACCGGTTGTGATCAATCCTGTAGGTGGAACAGCTGCTTGACATTCAATGGGTGTTTATGGCTATGACGACGACTGAATTGAGCACCCAGTAGCTCCAGATCCCTTGGCGTTTGTTCCTTCAAGTGAATTACAACAAGTATTGATTGCTAGTTGAACCAGTACAAATTAAATTGGAATCAGTAATAGAACTATGGCCCACCCTCCGACATAGTCGGAACCCAGGTGGCTGATTTGAGCTCCGACACCGCGGCCAACCAGGAGATTTTCCGATTTCAAAAAGCTGGCCATAACCAATGGGCGCAAAGTGTCTATCCGTTCTATGATGTAATAATGTTCAGCATCAGATACAGAAGTTACAGAGATACAGACCAAACATGGAGTATATGCCCCGATGTTTGGACGAACCCCGTCAGTTCTCCCCAGCCCTTGTGTGGTACAATCGCACAGGAGGAACTCGCGGCAGTGGAAACGTACAAGGCAACCGACAGAGCCAGGGAGGGCCAATGGAAAACCAATGATTTAACCAAGAATGGCTTTACCAGCAAAAATGGGGATGGCTTCAGCTTCAAAGCCTATAATTTTGTAGTGGAACATCCGAATGGGGGAATCAACATCCATGAGCAGCAAATATTGCCATGTTTGATCCTCCGGGATGAATATCAAATATGATCATCAATAACTGATGAAATATCCCCCCCGTTATCCCCCACTTGATGATATTATCAGTTGGATATTCATCAATAACTGGGATTATTATTAATTATTCTTCAACTGGATATTTGGACCAGTTATTTAACTATGGAAAAGCACCATTTTCAATGTGTAAATGCACTATTTCAATGTGCCATTTTCAATAGCAAACTGTTAGTCATTACCAGAGGGTATTCCAGTTGAATAATTTGAATATCACCATCCCCCCCCGATGGCCCAAGATGGGATGGTCCAATGGTCCCAGGAAAGCCTTGCCAAGCAGTGCGCGGATGGTGGCATGTCTTACGCCGAACGTGCTGCCAAGCGTGAGGAGCACGTGGAAATCAAAACCCAGGGTTTTCGATGTGAAAAATCTTCTGAATGGCTAGAAATTCATGGATTTTAATTCATGGGTGGATAATTCATGGGTGAAATCATGGATAATTACCTAAATTGAGAATAAATAAGTGGATAATTCATGGGTGGAATGATGGACCATTAAGGGATAACAAAAAACATGTGAATAAAATGCTGGGGGCATGCCTCATTTTTGGCCATCAAAATGATTGGCCCCAGATCATGGATGGTTTCAGACACAAATTGGTACCATAGTGCTGGCTCAATTGGTACCCCAACTTGGACCCATAGTCGTCCACATCGTTTGGCCATTGAATCAACACCACATATGGATGGAAAATCTGGCAATGGCCGAAAATTGGTGATGTGTAGTAATGAACCATTCAATTTTGGCAAGTGCATCCCACGTTTTGGGTTGGATGTCTCCCAGGAGGAGATTGAAGGCCTCAAGGACTGGTGCGAAACCATTCGGGTTTTCGAGATGGATCTTATGTATCAAACAGATAGCGTTTTAAATGGCAAGTAGACATATGAATATATTAAATATATATATACAGTATGTCTATGTATGTAGACAGTATATGTATAGACTGTATGTATCTATATATATACACGGTATTCTCATAAATATATATATATGTGTGTGTTTCTGATGTGATGGAAATGGGAAATAGATTACACTAGATGTTTTGATATTGTCTTTCGATAACCATGGTTCTTGGATCGATTTTGAGCCCTACAATGCACATTGTAACAGGGTATGGAGCTGCCAATGCTTGGACCATGGGGCCCAGAGCCCAGTGGCAATGCAATAGGAGACGCTTCGCACTGGATATGTCACCTCAAACATCACTAGGATAGTGAAAGAGCCATGGATGACTCAGTAGACTGAACCCACACTCTGTTGGGTCGTTCATCAGGGATTTGGGGAGAGGATCTTCGGGATCGGGAAATGTTCAAAATGTCCCATAAAATGGGCTTCAAGTGATTCAAGGTGTACCTGTGAGAATATATATATATACATATTATATATATATTTAGAGGTACACAGATACACAAAACCCCATGATTTATCGGAGACAAGCGTCAATCCCTGAGGACGCCTTGGCCTCCCTTGGTGGAACTGACCTGAACGCCGTGCTGCTGCAGGCCGCTGCGCCTTGGCGGAACCAGATCTAACTGGTTAGATTTGGACCAGTTACCCTCTGGTAAACTAACATAACTATGGAAAATCACCATGTTTAATGGGTAAATCCACTATAAATGGGCCATTTTCAATAGCTATGTTAGTTTACCAGAGGGTAAGTATACATTGACACAAGCCTAATAGCTGTAACAGCCAGCACGATCTAGAGCACGCTGTAACAGCCAGCACGATCTAGAGCACGATTTTTGGCACGAGGGAAAGCACCAAAAAGCACGATTTTGTGCACGAAGGAAAACACTCAAAACAATGTTCGCCCAAAATATAAATAAATCCTTTTTTTGACTGTTACAGCTATTAGGACGGACTCAAAGTATACGATATATATATATATACGATACTATACACTGTATTTGGGGATCGTTCTAAAACCCAAGAATTTTAGTATCCATAATTTTGAACAACCCCCATTTATTCTTATTTCAACCAGTTTATAGATCGTATAACCTCAGGAGTCGGCGACCATGGTCATTTTTCAGCAGGCTTACTAGTTGCTAAGTAGGGCAATGCTTAATGTTCCACCCAAAGATGGTCTCCCCGGACATGACATGGTATGACATAAGCATGATGCCCCCCATGTCAGAGCCCTGATGTCACTGATGTCAGCAAAATCGGTCATGTTCCTCGATCATATATTTCCAAATGGCACAGATTCATGAGTCCAAGCAGTGATTGGAAACACCATTGGGATCCATTGGGTAAGACCCCTAAGACCCTCATCTTAAGTCAGTTTTTTCCATGTTTTGTCCAATTTTGGTCCATGACTATCCCATGTATGACACATTCCAGTCGCCGGTGCTAAGGGCCTGCGTGGCGCCGTGGTGAAGCCTCATGTGCACTGAGCATGACGCCATGCAACCCCATGCAACCCCATGCAACGCCAACGCGCGGAAATGAAGCGGGTCGGAGAGAATGGGGGGGATATCCGATCTCCAAAATACCGCGATGATTGTATGATTCTTCTTTTTTGGACATGGTTGAAACTAGTTGAAAGAAAGTAATTGAAGTATCCCGCGGTGTGGAACTGAAGTTTTCCTTCGGAAAATTGTTAAGACCTAGGGAGTTGATCTTAAAGAAATAGTATACTTTAAAGCTTTAAAGTCATACAGGAACCCAAAACTCTCAAAACTGGCGATCTGTGGTATGTTGGGTCCTTGTTGCCCGCGCTGACCGTGGCACAGCGAGGTCAACTGAAACCTCCGAGGCACCAAGATTTGTGGACTCCAGGCATCTTTGGCTCAGGTTTGCTGCCCTTGGCTTCTGATTCCATTTGTTCCACAGTAAGGAAGAAAATCAATCATCGATAGGTATCGATAGGTATCGATAGGTAACCAAGTTGGTGAACACTGGCAAACTTTTTGGAAGATCTAGTCACTTAGTCAATCTCATTTTCACCCAACCCCAGCAGATCATCCAGCAGATCGCACCATCATCCATCGGAGCCCCCATTGAAACAGCGCCATGGCACAGCGCCATGGGAAGGTCGGTAAAAATTGGCCACATTTCTGGAGAAAACATCCCGAAATTGTCGTGTGAACGATGAACTTGCCCATGTTATTTAATGTTGTATTTAATATATATTATGTCATTAATTAGATGTTTACTTATTGTCTGTCTAGATATCTATCTACATCTATCTACCTACCTATCTAATCTATCTCTATCCATGCATGCGTCCGTCCATCCATCCATTCATCCCTGTGTACATACCGCCTATTTGCCTATCAGTCTATCTAAGTAGCTCTTTTGCCTTTCCAAAAAAGTAGGAATACAAAATACATATAAATTATATCAACATTGAATACATACACTATTTCTAAATAACGCCACAGTCTGTTTTCGTGATACGCTATGTATGGCTGAGCCAAGGCGCCCATACGTGTGATCCTCACAGGACAGCCACGGAAAAGGTTCGCGAGGACGCAGCCGCAGTGGGATCTCCCAGTGAACCGCTCGGTGGCATTTGGTCAAACCTTGGGTACCATGGGTATGTTTTAAAATCTTCCAAATAAGTGGCAAAGATTGGCAAAGTACTTTAGGATTTACTATGATTTACTATGATTTAATATGATTTACTATGATTTACTATGATTTACTTTTAATCTCTGGATTCCCTGGATATCTTTGGTAAATGGCGAGATAAATCCGAACCGTTCCTAAACCGTTGAAGCATCGCGATGAGGTCGCGAGCGAGCTGCACATGCGCCGAGTTTCCATGGTGGAATGGGTGTCCGGGTGCTTGGCGGGTGGCCCAAAACTGCTGGTTATTGCTGGTTGATGTTTCTGGATATGCGTTTTTCAATAGGGTTATAACATGTTATAACATATTAGAATTGTTTTAATATGATTTCGTCAAATGGAGATTATTACATAGGGCTATACTTTCTGATTTCAAGGATCTTACCACAATCCACTATGGTAATCCTGAGAATCCTGAGGTGCTGCAGGATGCCTTGGGTCAACTGGGCCCAAATGTGGACTTTGAGTGCGCCAGACTGGCACCAGGAAGTGGATGGATTGGAGAATCCGACCACAGAAGAGTTGGTGTGTGTCATCGGGAAACAAGGAATTCGAGGAATTCGGATGGGAGATTTGGGTCACATCTGGCTGGTGATTTTGGAGGATGCAACACACTTAGGCTGCTTGGATCAGTGGGTTTGGTCAACCGTTACGAGATGTTGCAGCCGTGTTTGGTGAAAGAGAAGCATTAGGGTTTGTGCAATATGGTACCAGTCCAATGATATATCATCATGTTGGAACCACCAGGCAAATGAGTAGGTGGTTTGTTTCCCCACTACTGGTTATATAAGTTTCCCATTAAATACCTGTTGGTATTGGTGAATCCCCCCTGTAATGAGTATTGATTGTTATATACCCAGTCTTTTGATCAGGTACGAAATCACCTGCCAGCTGCCTCCTGAGAAAGTAAGTGCCATGATCGGTCCTGGTGGACAAATCGTCCGCGCACCTTGGATGCGATCTGCACGGGGATTTCATGGGGATTTGGAGCAAATGGGGGATCATTTGCTTGGTGTTTTCAACATGTTTCAAATATGTTCTATTCTGCCCCTGTTTGAGCAGTTAACCAGGGAGTACGGGTTTTGGTGGCAATTGAATCGGGATTTAGAGTTTGTTGGAGGATCAACCGAGGTAGCTGATGAACAAAGGATGGTCAATCACTTTGCTTCAATGGAATTCCCACCCCTCACGAATTGAAGCATCCTGCAAATTGGCACTATCAAAATTGGGCGGAAAACATCCAGTTCGTCTCTGCTTAAAAGTATGATAACAAGTTTGATGTTCAGCAATTGGACCTCTTTCCTTTGGAGATCTCCAGATTTTGGGCCATTGGACGCCCAGACCGTGCGGCAAAGCACCAACACAGCCATTCACTTCGGCGAAGTCGTACCTGGAGCCAGGCGTGGTCGATGGTCTCATCTATCGATCCCAAGACACAGCAATGCTGCAATGCTGATGCTGATGGTCCCCACGAAAATCTCTATAGATGAATGTAGATTAATTACCATAGATAGGTTATCTGTTCAAAATGGGAATCGATTTATTGTCACAGTAGATATTCACAACATTTCATAACCCAGTCAAACCCAGTCAATGACTCAACAAGGCCAGGAAAATACTTGCAAGGGAACACAAAAACCTGACCTCGAGCCTCGCACTTCTCCAACTTCGGAGCATTTGCTCTGTCAGGGAGCAGACGATGCGCTTGAAAGGGCCCTTGCTGGGAGTTTATAGGCGAATCGGCAGAGAATCGGCAGAGAATCCATCCAGTGCTGTCTGAGCCATGGGAATCGGTTTCTTGATCTGAAATGAGCTCCAATTGAGGGATGATCGTTGTCCAAGAAAACTGCCATTTGGTTCAATAAAACATTAGATTGGAGATCCCTTGGTTAACATCCAATACGCCCAATACGCACTCTGTACACTCAAATCTTGGGCAAGATCTTCACCGTCACTCTTCAGAGAAGTCAGTTCTGCCTATCCATCTCCAGCCGTTTCCCTGGGATGATGTTCGCCAGGGCGCATGTGATGATGATGCGAAGGCCGAAGGGATCCAAAGGGTGTGAATTTGATGATGGAATAAAGAAAAATGGATTTGTGTGTTCAAAGATGGTGACAAATATCATCCTACCGATGATTTCAATTCAATTGACTAAAAGATTAAAATTCAGGGGGGTTGAAACCATCAACGACATATCAATGAATTAGGAGACTCTTATATTCATTTTCACATTCAACTGCTAATATTGCTCAGTCTGGGTCGATTCTATGCCCAGCTTCTGCAGCATGGCAGTGACACTATGGCTTGAGAATCTTATGCTAGTGACACTGTCGTTGTTCTGGGGTCCATATGGAGCATATCATCAATTTGTTGCCAACACACCAAACAGATGTGATACAATTAAAGTTGCCAAGGAGACCAAATCTTATGGCCAAGATGCAGATATGTTGTTCAGCTATCAACTGTCCATGGTCATCTACTGGCTCATCGGGACTAAAATCTTGATGGTCCCAGCCCAACTGTGGGATTCTTTGGGTATTTACGATCTCACTGAGATGTTTAGTTGTTATGGTTGAATCACAATGCATTGAACTGTTCGCCCAACTCCAGTGGATGGAAGAAATCCTGCACCACCAAACGGATGGTTGAAACCCCATCAATAATGGGATAAACCACTTATCTTCCAACCACCAGTAATCTACCAGTAACTGGCTCAGATATCACGAGCACGACGCAGAAGCTCGGTGGGGATGCCCTGTGGTTGACTGGATGACCGACCTGGTTAGTTCTGGCTGATCACTCCAGGTACAAAAGGGAATTCAATCAGCAAATATTTGGCGATGGACGAAAAGCTATGAAAACCTATGAAATACCAAAGCTAAATTACTAAAACAATTTAAAACATATTATATATATATTAATTATATAGATATATGTATATATGGGGATGAACATCCTGTTTTTTCCAGCTATTTTGATGTAAACTACGAAAGAATTTTGACGTGTTTTGACCCATCCCTATATATAGCGATATAACAAGAACAAAAATCCTGGGAATTATGCGTTGTGAAGTTAGGATATCAGTTGGACGTCTATTGGGTAGTACTATAGTAGGGATACACAACCCCTATCAGAATTCCCAAGACTCGAACTGTCTCCATGAGCCAATGCCATCTACAGGGTGCAGTCTGTACGCCATGTTTTTGGTGAGGGGCCCCTACATTGGCCCTGTACGTTTTCCAATGCTCGTGAAATACAAAGACACTACCGGTATCTTCAATGTCGTTGACTACATCTTACATGGATTTACAATCATTTACGTACCTTTTATATACCAATTTATATACCATCTATACACCTTGTTGTTTTTCTTCGTTATTTCCTGATTTTTCTGTCAACATAGCCAGTTTCATCGGCCACCAGAGAGCTGGGCGCAGGATTTCGCCCAAGGGTGCAGCGAAGGGCGCAGGCTCCCGTTCCGAGGGTCAAATCTGTTTTTACCCCTGTTGGTCAAGAAAGAGTATGAACCATCCATATCATTCAATAGAAGTCATGTATAATTAATAAGATTAATAGAATTCATGTATTTTCGAGATTTTTTGAGGCTACCAGGGTATCTCAACACCTCAACTTTGACCCGTCACTGTCCAGAACCATTGCTGCCTGACAGGTGCTAAGGGCGATCCCTTCAAGGGCGACAAAGGTGGCCCAGGCGAGTCAACATGTGTACCATGCCAAGATGGCATCCAGATCCCCATTTGACAATTACAATATTATTACAATTTTTCAAAATACAATCAATTGCATTTTAATACTGATATAATTTAGAAGGAGTCGAAGAGCTTGAAACCACCACCAAAATGGGGATTGAAACTGAGTTAAATCGCTCGCATCTTCCGTCTTCGGGGCGATTCTCAACAATCACCATCACCCACGGGGCAGGAATTCATAGATCTTATGAGTTGGTTTAGCAAACTAACATGGTCAGCTGGAAAATCCTACATCATGCTTTCCCAATGTTTTCGCTTCCATTTTGGCTGTAGGTATGCATGGGTGGGAATCTGACCAGATGCTACTGATGCTGTGTTGCTAGCATGTGGGCAAGCGCAAAAAAGTAGAACAAAATGTAGAACAATCGAAAAAATGCGAGCAAGTCGAAGTACAGAACACATCAGTCTAAATGGACAAATGAAATGCCAGCCGGGTTCTTTAGGTGGATCCGTTTGGCCCCTAGGAAAGGATTCCTGGACAACGGTGCCGCCACGAAACAAAGGCCATGCTGCAGCCAGAGTTTCAAGTGGGGTGTGGCAGTGCCCTCCATTAGGATGTTGCTGTTGTTGTTGCTGCTGTTGTTGTTGCTGTTGCTGTTGTTGTTGCTGCTGTTGTTGTTGCTGTTGCTGTTGTTGTTGATGTTGTTGTTGTTGTTGTTGCTGTTGCTGTTGTTGTTGATGTTGTTGTTGTTGCTGCTGCTGTTGTTGTTGCTGTTGTTGTTGCTGCTGCTGCTGCTGTTGCTGTTGATGTTGCTGTTGCTGTTGTTGTTGTTGCTGTTGTTGCTGCTGCTGCTGTTGCTGTTGTCGTTGTCCTTGTCGTTGTCGTTGTTGTTGTTGTTGTCGTTGTTGTTGTTGTTGTTGTTGTTGCTGTTGTTGTTGTTGTTGCTGTTGTTGCTGTTGTTGTTGTTGCTGCTACTGTTGCTGCTGTTGATATTGATGTTGCTGTTGTTGTTGCTGTTGTCGCTGCTGTTGCTGTTGTCGTTGTCGTTGTTGTTGTTGCTGTTGCTATTTTTGTTGTTGTTGTTGCTGTTGTTGTTGCTGCTGCTGCTGCTGGCGCTGTTGCTGTTGTTATTGTTGTTGCTGCTGTTGTTGTTGCAACTGTTGCTGTTGCTGTTGTTGTTGCTGTTGCTGTTGCTGCTGTTGTTTTTGTTGTTGTTGTTGTTGTTAAGTTGTTGTTGTTGTTGTTGTTGTTGTTGTTAAGTTGTTGTTGTTGTTGTTGTTGTTGTTGCTGTTGTTGTTAAGTTGTTGTTAAGTTGTTGTTAAGTTGTTGTTAAGTTGTTGTTAAGTTGTGGTTGTTGTTGTTGTTGCTGTTGTGTCTGTTGTTGTTGATGTTGCTGTTGTTGCTGTTGTTGCTGCCGTTGCTGTTGCTGTTGTCGTTGTCGTTCTCGTTGTCGTTGTCGTTGTTGTCGTTGTTGTTGTTGTTGTTGCTTTTGCGGTTGCTGTTGTTGTTGTTGTTGCTGTTGTTTCTGTTGTTGTTGTCGCTGCTGGTGGTGCTGTTGCTGTTGTTGCTGCCGTTGCTGTTGCTGTTGCTGTTTCTGTTGTCGTTCTTGTTGTTGTTGTTGTTGTTTGTTGTTGGTTGTGGTTGTGGTTGTTGTTGTTGTTGCTTTTGCGGTTGCTGTTGCTGTTGTTTTTGTTGTTGTTGTTGCTGTTGTTTCTGTTGTTGTTGTTGCTGCTTCTGGTGCTGGTGCTGTTGCTGTTGGTTGTTGCTGTTGTTGTTGTTGCAACTGTTGCTGTTGTTGGTGTTGGTGTTGGTGCTGGTGGTGTTGTTGGTGTTGTTGTTGTTGTTGTTGGTGGTGGTGGTGTTGTTGTTGTTGTTCATGCTGCTGTTGCTGTTTTTGCTGTTGTTGTTGGCTGGTTGGTTGTTTCGTTGTTTCTTCGTTTTTGTTTTTATTTGTTGATTTGAATATGTTTCTTTGTTGCTTTGTCGTTTTGTTGCTGTGTTGCTTTGTTTCTGTGTTACTTTGTTTCGTTGTTTCCTTGTTGTTTTGTTTCTTTGTGTTTTTCACTACGACAGCAGTTTGTTGCGTAGTCCCTCTGGGAAATCTGTATGGAGATTTCCTAAAATGGGGGATCCCCAAAACCATAGGTTTCAATACTAAAACGGTCTACTGAGTCTACTGCAAGTTTTTTTCATTTGGGGGTATCCCTATTTTAGGAAACCCCCATGCAAGTATGTGCAACATTGTGTAACCTAGATTATATCACCATCTCAGAACCATTGCCTGACACCGATCATCTCATGGATTTCGCCCAGCTGTTCGGTTGAAAGGTGGCTATGATAAGGGCTTCGACAAGGGTTACGACAAAGGTTACGACAAGGGCTACGACAAAGGCTATGACAAGGGTAGCCCAAAGGGTGGCTACCATGGCAAGGGCCACTGAGCTGCAATAGCGTCTTTGGCGGATGGCATTCTTTTGTTTTTGTGGCCCACTCCATTTGCTTTCCGCCAAGGTGACAATGTCACTATGGGCCACAAGGGCGCACCCTACAACGGCAAGGGCAAGGGCAAGGGCAAAGACGAAGGCCCGGCTTCTGGGAACAGACAGGGGAGCATCCCTACCGTTGAGATGATTTGCAAGAGAAAATACAAGGGAATGGGTGTTCGAAAGAAAGAAACATGTCATCCAGGAATATCCAGGACACCATTGTCACTGGGTTGATTTAAGGGAAAGATTGCAGGGAACGAATCGATTTTACCAGTTCAAACTGTCAAACGATGGTCTTGAGTATTTATCCAACCAATGTAATGGCTATGGTGAATGGTTGATAGGTAGAATCGAAAACCATTTTCCAGCAAAAGATTGGAAGGAATTTGCAAGGTCACAGTGGAGTAAGAGAAAGCAAAAGCAATGTGGTTTGGGATCAGTCACGTGCTTGCGGAATCAATGTTCAAGCTGATGAATCAATCTGGATGTGTCCGAAGTGCCCCAAACATATGAGTGTCCTGCTTCTAAGTACCCGTCCTGAATCTGTTGGTTGATTCAACCAGGATTCTGAAGATGGCTAAATTTATGCTGTGTTGGGGATAAAGGTTCATGAGGCCTCAACCGCAACGAGCATCAACGAGCAATCTCCCCAAAATTCGCTTATGAACATACCACCGGTACGGATTCTGGCAAATTAGGGGATCAAATTACTGGAGGTAATCAAGCGTGGCTTTCTGATTTTCTAAATTTTAGAATTTCCATGTACATTGATTTCCAAGTCAGCCATAGTACTTTCCATTTAATGGGATTTTCCATGTATAGTGTTTTCCCAGTTAGCTATGTTATGTTTCATTATATGAGATGTTCCATGTATAGTGATTGTCCATTTATTTATATCCAATCATGTCACAATGTCCCTATTTTGCATATATCCATTTGAATATTACATTTGGATGTAATGGTATTCTTGGGATTTTTCCATTGTAAATATGATAATTGACATTTATGGGTAATTAATGTCGCCGTTTCCAATCATTTGTGTCATCATTTACAAGGGGACGGTTCTATTGATAAATATCCACCTATTAATATCTCCATGTTCCAACAATATCACCATTTTGCATGTATATCCCATTTGACATATAATTATATACCCCTTTATTCTTTTGCATAATGTCCATATTATATCCATTTATTAATCTCCATGTATTCTGTATTGATTTCCATAGTATATCCGCAATATCCATGTATCCATGCATTAATATCCCATAATATACATGTATTTCTATTTGTTGGTCTATACATCTATATAGCTATATATCTATATAGCTATATATCTATATAGCTATATATCTATATATCTATATATCTATACATATATATCTATAGATCTATATCTATATATCTATATCTATATATCTATATCTATATCTATATATATCCATATATCCATATATCCATATATACATATATGTATGTATCTATATGTCTATATATATATATATGTATCTATGTATCTATGTATTTATGTATCTATATATCTTTATATCTATGTATCTATATATCTGTGTATCTATCTATATATATGTATCTATACATATATATATATATACACATATATTTACATATATATATATCCATATATATATATATACATAAATATAGATGTACATATATCCATAGATATTAATGAATGTGTATATTAATTAAATTGTCCCAGTAAATAATATCGATTTCATATCCATTGCTATTAATGGGTTTTGTCCCCATTGATATCAAGCAGGCCGCGGAGACTTCGGCCCTTTGGCCGACAACGGATGTCGGGATGTCCTATGGGTTTTACCCATCAAAAATGGTGGATAAACCATGGAAAATGGTGGATAATTCAATCGACATCGTGGGTGGTAAACTATGAAAACTGGGGTGAATGATCATTTAAAAAATGAGAGAATGAGGGTAGAAGCAATGAATATGGGGACATCAAGCAAAATTCAGCTTGGCAGTTTCAATGATTCTCTAATCCATCTGGGGATGATCCCCAGGTGGTGGATGTTACAACCTGTGAGTATGATGGATATCACAACAATTTCCAACTACCAATGGACCAAGATAACTTGCAGGGATCTACTGCTGCACGACTAGGTACCAGTGGGGCCGTGTCAATTTCTGCGGCATATAGTTCCATGGACAGTTGGGGAAAGATCGGAGCCTAGGTTTGTCTACACTATGTATCTGGCATGCAGGCATACATACAGACAGACAGACAGACATACAGACATACATACATACAGACAGACATAGAGACATACATACATACGTACATGCATGCATGCATGCAGGCATACATACATACAGACAGACAGACATACAGACATACATACATACGTACATGCATGCATGCATGCATGCAGGCATACATACATACATACAGACAGACATACATACATACGTACATGCATGCAGGCATACATACATACAGACAGACAGACATACAGACATACATACATACGTACATGCATGCATGCATGCAGGCATACATACATACATACAGACAGACATACAGACATACGTGCATGCATGCATGCATGCAGGCATACATACATACAGACAGACAGACATACAGACATACATACATACGTACATGCATGCATGCATGCATGCATGCAGGCATACATACATACATACATACATACGTACATGCGTGCATGCATGCATGCATGCATGCAGGCATACATACATACAGACATACGTGCATGCATGCATGCATGCAGGCAGGCATACATACATACATACAGACAGACAGACATACAGATATACGTACATGCATGCATGCAGGCATACATACAGACAGACAGACATACAGACATACATACATACGTACATGCATGCATGCATGCATGCATGCGTACATACAGACATACGTACATGCATGCATGCATGCAGGCATACATACATACAGACAGACAGACATACTGACATACATACATACATACACACATCCATGTTCTGTGAAAATCGGACGCGATTATAGTTTTTGTCATTTGGGATGTGCTGCATGCTTCAAGATATCCAAAATCACGGGTCCCAGTTTTTGAGACCTCCGAATTGGGGACCTTCATTTTGTTGAACATTATGTTGCAAAAACACTGCATTCCCAGAAACCTGGCAAAATGGGGACCTGACAGCGTCCCTTTCTGTATATATATATATATATATGTATATGTATATAGCATATATATATATATACACACACATAGCTGCTTCAAATCCTTTTTTTGCTGGACCCCAATTGCTTCGTTGAAGCAATTTCTCCCCTGCTCAAGGTGGTAGCAGCTCTGAGGGTCAGCCTGTGATTGGTTTTGGTGGCTTGGAACCCTTGAAATATCTGGATTTAGTGGAGATTGAATAGGATTTAATGTGATTTAATGATATTGGATTGTTGGATTTGTTGGATATTATTTTTTTCACCAATTTTAGTGTGTTATGGTTGGTTTACACTACACTCATTGACGCTTCACAATCATTGGTAGAGGTTTACCATTTGGGGTTCCCTGTGTTGCAGTTCCCGGTTTCCCCTTGCCATTGGGCATACCATCTTCATCATTGCCATACGGCAACAATAAAAAATAACCAATATCAATGGGATATAAATCGGATAGAATGGTTATAGCCGCGTATAACCAGTATAATTTGATATAACAGTGTATTTAACTATGTTTGATTTGTGGATTCAAGTATGTGCTGTTCAACCCTTGAGGATCTCAATTGACTGCGGGGAAGGGTTGAAAGCACAGGCCTCGACTGATGCAGTGTCTGTCATAGCAACTTTGACTAAACGCCACGTTGTCTTGTAGATTTTCCTCAGGCTGATTCCGAGCACTGTCTCCTAATATATCCTCTTATATCCTCATGTTAATCCACCTTTTTCCCGACTCACCTGACTCCAGCGGACGCCAGTGCGAGAATCGTCCAGAGAACAACTGGAGGCCGGTATTGTTACAGGTATCGGCTACGAAAAAGACAACCTGTAATACCCCGTATCCCTGTGGCGAACCTCAAATTCTGTCAGAGATCCCAGGGAAGCGCCTGCCATCCCCATCTGCTGCGGCTCGGATGTCATCCTATTTAGGGGGGGCATTTTTTGGCGACGCAAAGAAATCCAGCACTGCTTATGTTGTTGTCCATTGCTAGTCTTATCTAGTTTTCTATTTTCCCATGCGGTTCAAATAATTCCACCCTTCGAATGATTGGAGGCTATTGACCCAGAAAGGCTGTGGTTATGAAGTTATGAAGTTATGATTCCATGATTGTTATCGGATATCCATTGGATTCCCAGAATGGCAGGGCATGCTGGCGAATCTGGAGAGGCAACTGAACGAGGCATCCTGGGGGTTCCCTTCTGGGAGATTTTTATTGGATTGGTTTAAGTGGGGAAATTGTGCGGTAAAAAAAACATCGAAAACCCCATTTCTGTTAGAAACAAACATGAAATCTCTGAGATGGGATCAAGATGGGCAGCATTTTCCAGCAGCAATTCGTGATGCGATGCCCAAAGGGTCACCTGCAGAAATTGATGAAAAATTGACATAAATTGACATTGGGACCATACTGGGACTATGGAGGACCCCAAAGTTTGCTTCATCCCCCTCACCGGGCAAAATCCACAGGTGAAGGGCAAGTTGAGTCGCACTTGAGGCCGACCACCAGCTTTCAGATTCCAAAGATGTCCAGAGTCGCCAGCATTTCACCTTGCAGATCCTTCCAAAGTGATGAAGCACAAGTTCCTTCTAGTTTCCAGGTGTTTTATGAGATGCCCAGCCCTAAATAGCTGGAGCCCTGTTGGCCAACTGGAGTCCCGATTGGTGCTTTCTATGTTCGTGTCTGATTCCAGGAGGTTCTCAAAGGTTTTCTGGATGATCTTGTTCTTGCCTTGCCAACCATGGCATTTGCGAGATTTCCACTTTGCCATTTCTATTGGTTCAATATCAGTATGCATGTTTCTACATCTCTAGGTACTTTTAATTTGGTTACGAGCCCCTGTTTTTCACTTGACTACGATTACACAAATGAAAATCTTCATGGATTGCTGACCATATAGGGACATACTCAAAATTCAAGAAAGCATGTGGGGGTACCCCCAAACGGTTACCCCCGAACGTTAACAAACCGAAAAACAATAAGCACTATTAGGCCTTAATAGTGCTTATTAGTGCTTATTAGTGCTCGAAAAAAAAGGCCCCAAAATGGTCTCAAAATGCACTCGAAACACACTTAAAGTGAACTCATTTGAGCTCAAAATACATGTGATCTAAATATTTGGAAGGGTTATACGGAACTATTGTTCCCTGATGATGTGGCGTTTTTTTGCAAAAACCCAGCAAAAAATGATGTGTTTTAATAATATTTTGGATTTCGCACCATTCGGTTATACAAATATGAACCATGATGAAAGCAATCTCACTGGTTCCCGCTCGTATCACAAAATTGCAAGAAATCCCTCACAAAAAGAGGATTGTTAGGATATATACTTAAGTTGATTTGTCACGTCTGCTTAGGGTAAAGATTGGCAGATTTCTGTGGAGGTAAACGATTCGGCCGAACCCAACGATGCAACGAAATTGCAAAAACAACATGGTAAATTGCATCGTTCGGACGCTTATGCATTGATTTGTGACCTCTGGTTGTTGGGGCATTTGGAAGGTTTGTATATGGACCCCAAATTACACAAAATCCAAGCAACATGATTGAATTTTGAACAAGCTGCGTGGTTACTTCAGGGGTTCCAGCTGGCTCATGAAACAACAAGTTCCTCCAAATCCCCGAAATAGATGATTGATACATGTTGATACCAGTTAATGCTTCAAAATCGGTCAAAACCCTGAAACTAGAAGGTTGGTACCAACTAATACAAACTCAAAATAACTCAAAATTCGTTCATTCCTAAATTTTAGATGGGCAATACCAATTAATATTGGGTCAAATTTATCAAAATCCACCAAGTAAATTGCTGATACCAGTTAATGCTCCAAAATATTTCAGAATTTCAAAAAATAATCCTTCAACATATCTCAAAATCACCAAAATAGATGGCAAAATATCTCAAAATCCCTGTTGCCAGCTAATGCATTGACATATTTCAAAATTCGTGAAGTTAGATGGCTGATGCTAGTCACTTAGTCCCCGCCTCAAAATATCTCAAAAATCCAAAGATTAGATGGCTGATACCAATTAATACCAATGCAAAATACTTCAAAATCCACCAAAAAGGAAAAGACACGGTTGATACCAGTTAATGCTTCAAAATATGTCAAAACCCTGCAATTAGAAGGTTGGCACCAATTAACACAAACTCAAAACAGCTCAAAATTCGTAGAATTAGATGGTTTTTGCCAGTTAATGCTTCAAAATGCTTCAGCATTCCTAAAACAAATATGGTTCATACCAACTAATACAGACTGAAAGTACTTCAATTCGCCCAAATAGATGGCTGATACCAGTTAATGCCTCAAAATGTTTCAAAATCCAGAAAATTAGATGGTTGATGCCAGTTAATCATCGAACATTTTCAAAATCCCTGAAATGAGATGGCTGATGCTAGTTCCTGCCTCAAAATATTTCAAAAACCCAACGATTAGATGGTTGATACCAATTAATACCAAGATATACTAACTCAAAATACCTCAAAATTCACCAAATAGCAAAATACACGGTTGATACCAGTTAATGCTTCAAAATTCGCCAAAACCTTGCAATTCGAAGGTTGGTACCAACTAATACAAACTCAAAATAGCTCAAAATTGCTTCATTCCAAAAAATTAGATGGTTGATACCTGAAAATACATCAAAATCACCCAAATAGATTGTTGACACCAGTTAATGCTCCAAAATATTTCAAAATTCGTGAAATTAATACCTCAAAATATCTCAAAATCACCGAAATAGATGATTGATACCAGGTAATGCCCGAAAATATCTCAAAATCCCTGAAAATAGGTGGTTGATGCCAGCTAATGCATTAACATATTTCAAAATTCGTGAAATTAGATGGTTGATGCTAGTCCCCGCCTCAAAATATCTCAAAAATCCAAAGATTAGATGGCTGATACCATGTAATACCAATGCAAAATACTTCAAAATCCACCAAATAGCAAAAGACACGGTTGATACCAGTTAATGCTTCAAAATACGTCAAAACCCTGCAAATAGAAGTTGGCACCAATTAACACAAACTCAAAATAGCTCAAAATTCGTAAAATTAGATTGTTTTTACCAGTTAATGCTTCAAAATGCTTCAGCATTCCTAAAACAAATATGGTTCATACATGTTCATACCAACTAATACAGACTGAAAGTACTTCAATTCGCCCAAATAGATGGCTGATACCAGATAATGCCTCAAAATGTTTCAAAATCCAGAAAATTAGATGGTTGATGCCAGTTAATCATCGAACATTTTCAGAATCCCTGAAATGAGATGGCTGATGCTAGTTCCTGCCTCAAAATATTTCAAAAACCCAACGATTAGATGGTTGATACCAATTAATACCAAGATATGCCAACTCAAAATACCTCAAAATTCACCAAATAGCAAAATACACGGTTGATACCAGTTAATGCTTCAAAATTCGCCAAAACCTTGCAATTCGAAGGTTGGTACCAACTAATACAAACTCAAAATAGCTCAAAATTGCTTCATTCCAAAAAATTAGATGGTTGATACCTGAAAATACATCAAAATCACCCAAATAGATTGTTGACACCAGTTAATGCTCCAAAATATTTCAAAATTCGTGAAATTAATGCCTCAAAATATCTCAAAATCACCGAAATAGATGATTGATACCAGGTAATGCCCGAAAATATCTCAAAATCCCTGAAAAATCCAAAGATTAGATGGCTGATACCAATTAATACCAATGCAAAATACTTCAAAATCCACCAAATAGCAAAAGACACGGTTGATACCAGTTAATGCTTCAAAATACGTCAAAACCATGCAATTAGAAGGTTGGCACCAATTAACACAAACTCAAAATAGCTCAAATTTTGTAAAATTAGATGGTTTTTGCCAGTAAATGCTTCAAAATGCTTCAGCGTTCCTAAAAAAAAGGTTCATACCAACTAATACAGACTGAAAGTACCTCAATTCACCCAAATAGATAGATGGCTGATACCAGTCACAGTCACAAGGTAAGCATGTTCCTCAAAAACAATTATGTTTCACAGTGATTTCTTGCCTCAAAGCAGGCAATTTCCCTAGAAAAAGAAATACATTTGATGACCAACACAGCTTCATTCTGGCTTGGTGGCAAACCTCTACAAGTATACTTCACCCAAATAGCTTAAACCGACTCAAACGGCCCCAAACGGAACCAAACGGGCCTCAATTCAGACTTAATTTCACTCGATAATGAAAGAATGGTTTTCGTTGCTTTCTTACGCTTCCGTCCACTCAAAACAGCTCAAACCGCACTCAAAACCCTATTTTGAGCACTCGTTGCTTGCGGGTCGCCGTTTGGGGGTAGGGCCAGCTGCTTTCTTGAAAAATATGTCAGCCAGGCAGTGCTTAACTCCATGTGATGCATGAACAATCATGAACATGTCAAAGAGCTACACTGTAAAACGCAGTACAAAATGGAGCCGTCGCGATTTGGACTTTAGGCATTGTTCGTGTCCATGGAACCACGATGTCTTTATCCTAGCATAGACTGTAATTATCATATATAGACATCATCACCTAGACATCACGATGTCGGCAAAACGAATTGCCACAGAAAAAGAAGACCACTTCTCAAAATGTTCACAAGAGAACATCCTGGAGAAGCAGTTTCTGATGGTATCTACTTTGTGTTTAGCTTATGCTCATGGATACAAGGGTTCGCAAGCAATCGCGCGCCTTTCTTTACATAGATCGGTATGGATCAAAAAAAAAATCGACCGGACAACAGGTGTTCATCCATTTTAGCCAGCCCATCCCATTCATCCCATTACCAGTACCTTTAACATCCTTTTAACATCCTTTAACCCAAAGCCGGCGCAGTTTTTGGAGCTCAAGGGCTCAAGGAGGGAACTGGCCCCGCCACCAGATTTCGGTGCTGGATGTCGGGCCAGGAGGATCCGACGGGACGGTGAAAATCATGGGTCAAAAAGAATGGATTTTTTCTTGGGAGAATCATGGAGAAACAGAGAATCCATATATTTGATGAATCGCAAGAGATTTGAGGAAATGGAACCACTGGAACCACTATAAACTGCTCATTTTGTACTGGACCAGCCACATCCACTTTTAGGGCTATGTGTTTCAAGCCCAAGACAGCCCAAGACAACCCAAGACAGGCAGTTGGAACAGGTAGGCTTCAGTCGAGATGTAGCCACTTAAAAACTCGCTGTTGGATACGCAAATCCTCTCTATGACTGGCAATTGATAGGGGGTAAATCACCAACCGTGGATATAGTGGATATCTTATCCAAGGTGTGCAATTGCAGCCACTGTAGTAGTCATATGAGGGAAATTCTCAGCACCAACGAATAGATTTGTATCTGATCAACCATACGGAGAACTCTCAAAATCGAAGTTTGAAAATGGCTGGGCAAAGTATAACAGGAGGCCATTCTAAGAAACAGTGGTTAGATGTGGTTAGTATTGTGGACCTCCCAATTCAGTGGCCTCCTGCATTCAGTTTGGCGAGCCACTTGCCCCAGAAAGACCAACTTTGGATCAGAAATCGACTATGGCTCCTAAAGATTCCAGCTTTAGGATTGGTGAATATGTGAATCCCAATTTCACAGAATGTTGTTCTTTTGGGGCTATTTTTGTCTCATGTGTTCCAACATCAATCCACCATGGTGCCCAGGACATATTCGGGAACCCCACCACTCAAGTGGAGGCGATTGCGGGTGATGATCCAATGAGGCTTTCATGTAACCAGTTCAAGCACCCATTGAATTAGGATGTGAGGTATAATGAGGATATAGTTGCTATGGTCCATATATGTCCATATCATTGGCTGACGGTTTCAGTGGTGATTATCCTTGAAAATGGCATCATGTTGACTTTCTCTGTTGAAAAATCGTTGCTCTAATCATCTCCAATCACAAAATATGGTTGTTCACCCGGCAATGAGGAGATCAGAAAGATGAAGCGAAAAACTTGACCAAAAATGGATCATCTTTCGCAGCTGCGAATGGTGAATTCACCATTAGATCCAATGGACCGGAAAGCCATGGATGGACCAATGGTTATTTTAGTCTACTGATACGGATGATGATTTTTGGGTTCAGTTCACTGGTGCGAAGTTCTTTCGCAAGTGACTGCCCACTACTTAGATGGTTTTGCCAAAAATATTGGTATGCCCCATTTATTTTTCCTCATTTTACTGGGGAAAATGATCACCACCCATGGGCTTTTGGAGCAGCCCGCTTTTTAAGAAAAACGTAACTATCTTTCATTCCTAATCCCTGTCAACTAATTCGGAGCCTCATCATCTCAATCAAAGCGAATTGTTGGTTGATGATATTCTTATCCTTCGGATGCATTTTCCCACATCATGTGGGTGTCAAGATGGTTGACCCAAAAAAAATTATGGTTTGCTATTAAAGTGACCAATTGTGCTATCTGGGTCCAAACAGATACTCCAATGACTCGACCCATATACACATATGGGGGGTTCCATGGGGGTACTCCAAAAATTGATGGTTTTTAATGGAACATCCCATTTAAATGGATGATGAAATGGGGTACCCGGACACCCATTTCAGGAAACCTCCATATCATTAAATAATCCATGATATTCCATGGTGCATAGACGATTTTCCCATTGAGTCTGGGATGTTCCACCCAGGGCGTCACCGCGTCCACAAGTCTTAGCCTCGATGAGGTGGGAGATGATTTTCCCGAACGAAACCTCCGGGATTTCCCATGGCCAGGTTTGATTACCAGAGGGTATATCCTGCAAATGGCCATGTAGGGAAAATGATGCTTGGTTAGTTGATTAAGGAGTGAATATGTTAACCCAAATGCGTTTAAAAACCCAGGTATCCCACCAAGACAAAGTTATTTTGTGACAAAGATTATGATTACCAAGTGAATTTGGGATGCATGAATGTAGTATTATACGGAATATATATATATATATACAGATACAGATATAGGTAGGTTGCTTTTGCCATATCTACTCTACAGATGTGTATGTATATATACGTATGATTATATCTACGTATATATATATGTTTATGTATGTTTATATACTAGTGACTGATATCTTACTTCATATTACATTTACATTTACATTACATGACATTATGATATGAGCCGACAGGACCTGAGCTCCCCGCGGTGCCTTGTGCGGAGAAAACCAGGAGGAAAAAAACGGGCCCCGAAAAACACAGATCTCCAATTTAGAGATTGGATAAATTGGATATCCCCCTATATGAATTTTATATTTTTAGATATTGGATATAAAATTGTAGATATGAATATGATGCCAATATGCCAATCAAAAGGGGATATTGATGATACTGATGTGAATGTATAGAACCATCATTGCATACGTATGTATACATACATATAAAATGTGGTTGCTTTTGAACCCCAGCCAGCCGAAGCTTCAGATTGGTGAATTAATATAAGTCATCCAGATAGAAAAAACGTCTATCACCAATGTTTGTCAATGGCGGGTTTTGCCCCAAGTGATGGCCATGTCCCAAAGATTTTGGGCCATCCCATTAATTTTCGACCTCCAAGTTTGGAGGTTTGTTGATGTGCATTTCGATCCATATAATGTGGCAAAGCCAATAATAAACTGCCCCCAATTTGGCCAGAAATCGGTGGTATAAAACATCCCCAAATGGGAGGCGTGTTTTTGGGGTTTACCACATTACATGTGATTTGATGGGGTTCGAAACTGGATACCATACACAGCGGTCTCCTTGCAGCGTGTTTTCTTCAACTGACTGAATGTTCAGCATACAGCATGCCAAATGTTCGAAGGTGTTGGAATTTTGAGAGGTATGTTGAAGAAGAAGAATCCTATCCCCAGATTTATATAAATTGATATGCTTACCGTATTGTTTTCCATACAAACATATATACACATATATCTTTTGATGTTTTTCATGCATCATGTCCCAGAATTGGATGCTGGGACAATTTACAGGAAACCCTTATCTTATATTTGCAAAACAGGGGGCCACCAGTGTGCACAAGAACATTGGATGTGTGAGTAACTACAGAAAACGCACAACTAAGAGAAGAAGTAGAAATGTTTTTTTGCCTCCACTTGCTATTAATCTCTTCGTAGACCGTGTGGGTTTCATTGTCTTTAATTTTATTTGCTTGACATGTAAAAATCGCCAAAGACATGGGAAAAAAACGCAAAAAACTGAGAACTGTCAGGACCCAATTCTCTGCAGCATCTCACGTGAACCATCTGCCACCTCACTTCTGCAATTAATTTCCTCTCTGGCATGCAAAACCAAAAAACGAAGAAACAGACACAGGAAAAACAAAAAAGCATGTCTCGGTATCTTCTCCCCCGGGTTTGCATGTTTTTTTGGTTTTGGCGGGATTGGATGGGACCCAAGAGGAGACACGCTGTAGAGGTGAACATGGAGAATTGGCCAGATATGGTTCAAAATGTCATACCGTGGAGTCAAACAAGCAGAGTCCCTGTACACAGGCATCGTATCTTTCAAGAGTGCACTATGGAAAGGTAGCATTATTTTCTTGAAATGCAGCAATTGTCATTTACGCGCAGTATTCTTCTCGAAGGGCATCAATTGTTTCTTCAAAAAGTACAGTATTTCTTGAAGAGACGCAATATTCTGAAAAAGCATGCAGCATTCCTGCGGAAAATGCAGTGTTCTTTGAACGATCAGTAGTCTTCAAAATGTTCAGTATACCTTTCAACGTCCAGTATTGCCGCAAGAGATATAGCAGTGGTTGCAAGTCTTGCATAGTTGAATTGGCAATGACTTTTTACAAAACACATTGTGTCTCTCTCATAGTGTAGCCTTCCTTTAAGACGTTTTTTAAAGAAGTGCATGTCCAAGTACAGAATTACTTGAAACTAAGCAATTCTCATCTTGCAAACTCAGAAAAAGTGCAGCAAACAGTCCCCACTCTTCATCTTGGGGTGGTTTAAGGAAAAAAAGGGTTTCCTGTAGAATTTGCCTTCAATCATCCTACAGATCGTAGTTGATAACCAAAACATAAACCCCCTAATTTATCCATTGGAGTTCCATTGGAATACCTCTTCTGGCCATGAATGGTACACTGGTACACGAGGTCGGAGAGCATCCGATGCGGCGCCGAAGATGGTGGCCGCGCGAGCTCGCACCGGGACCGCATTGTGGCGAGGCATCGCGTGAGCCTTGGCTGGTGGATTCTCAAAGTTGGTCGAGTCCGAAAGTTTGGGGATTTACCAACAGATTTCCCTATGGTGTCCCTCCAATTTCTGGCTGAATAGGGAAAATGAATAAAAATGATGATAAACCCATTGTAGGCGGTTTCCCCTGAATTCTCATTGGGTTTAATCATATTAATCATATATTTATAGATGACAAATGGATGTTTCCTTAATGGCAATGAAAATATCCCAAATGGCAACTTGACAATAAGGTCGGCAATTTTGTACACATGGAACACTTATCTAACTGACTTTACCATTGATGGGGAGATAGCCATGATAGCCATGTTACATTAATTGTGAAACCGCAGTGGGATCAATAGGATCTGGTGCCATGGCTTGTTTCAACTATGGCCATGGTATGAAGCCCAGATCAAGTCATTGGATTAGTAGGATGATCCAAGAGGAATTGTGACTTGACAATGGATCCATGATAGTTTTAGATAGTCTCAGTGGCTCATATGCTGATAGTAAATGATGGTAAATGTAAGGATCCGCGTTGGAGGCAGTCAAGGTTCCAGCTGGAACTGAAACGTGTACCGATGCTGGAATTGAAGAAATATTCCAGGAACCCATACCGTTCCATACCCTTTTGACAGTTGATATACGGTTTTCATCTGGAACCTGCGGCCAGTGATGATTCATATCTTGGTATGCCATGCATGGAAACAAGCTGCCCCAGCTGAATCATGCCGCAACACTACGGATATGATCAGCATTCACCAGTACATGTCACCGATGAGACTTCGCCACAGTCCGCCAAGGGGTCCAAGGGGTCCAAAAATGGTCGAAATGGTGATGAATTGGGACACGATTGGTGACATGATTGGGAAATATGATAGGCCGATAGGATCCGATAGGCTAAAATTTGCCCGGATACCAGGGATCATCCAACTTTGGATACCAACGGATTGACAAATCTCTAGGGATGTTCTCGATGTTGCTGCTGTTTGAACAAGGAAACCCGGGCTCACCATATCTCACCATTTTGATCCATTTTGGGGAAACACGCTGCTGAGGAATGTGAAGCAGTGGCAAGCACAGGCAGCGGTCAGGGCATGAGCTCACCATGATCATAGAAACTCATAGGTGATCCACATTTAGTGGATTGATGGAAGTAAAAGATTGTAGGAAGTTGATATACTGCAGTGATCATGAAATTAGTGGGATTGAACCAACTAGATAGAAAAAAGGATAAAAGGGATCGAGAGGAAACAGTGGTTTACCCCCAAATCACGGAATTTTGGTTGTTCCATCTGTGTTCTGTAGATTTCCCCAAAGCCGATTCTGGGACACATGCTTTCCGAAAATGCGGGCTTTGCAAACGATCACGCTCCCATTGTCACAACAAATAGGCTACTTTCAAAGGTGGTTTCAACTATGTCGCTATGCCTGGATAAGAGTTGAAGTTTCAGTCGGGGTTGGGTCATCACCTCTTGAACTGACATTGAAATCGGGGATCCTATAAAGGCACCTTGAGTCCTCTAGACATCTCTACACCAGAGTGGCTTCCGCTTCAGGTTCTGATGTTCTTAAAGCAGAATCAGTTCACGAAGGCTGTGGGACATGTGGGACATCGGAGATGACTCAGATGGGTTCATCGAGGGGAGACCCTCCGGTGTCAAACACGGCAATGGGAATTTCCCGAGTAGCACTGAGTAGCACTTCTCAGGGCAAAATCATCGAAATGCTGGATTGAAAATCGCAAGCCATTTGAAAATCAGCGATTTTCACATGTTTTCACCAGCAAATGTTGGTGATTCCCAAAATTCTTCCAAGCCGGCAGGTGAACAGTCAGAAAGGTTTCTTTTTTATCACGTTTCCACTTCACGAAGCCGTAAAGCAGACCCTCAGCTGAGACCTGGAGGCCACAATGCTTGTGAGTTTGTGATCCTTGATCCATGGTGATGTCAATCCTGGCCTTATGCCATTTTAACATATTTTAACATGTTTTAACATGTTAAGCCAACCCCAGTCTTAGCCCACAAACAACACACCCAGGCACTATCATATACTTGTCACCTGAGGATGAATGAAAACACGGGCTATACGCAGCGATTTTGACTTCAGGATTTAGGGATTTAGGGTTTTGGGTTTTAGGCTTATGGCTTTAGGGTTTCGGGGTTTTGGGGTTTCTTGTTTTGGATATTTAAAAACGCTGGTCCTACGCAGGGATTTGAGCATGTCAAAGGATATGCAGGATCGCTGGTGGGCAAAGGTAGGGGTTGCAGCAAAGATGTTTGTTTAAACATGTTCCTGTTTAAACGCTATCTTGGGTTGGACATAGTTCTGGATGTTTCAGCGATTCTCCTGGCGCCGTTTGCCGAGGAAGAACGTCATGATGGTAAAACTACTCTTGATGTTTGGCGCTGACCCAACCACGCCCCTCGTCGGATGTGCGGGAAATCACCAGTTCTAGTGTCCGTAATCGGTCCTAATCGGAAAATGTCCTGGCTTTGCATCAAGGAATTCAACTGGCAACCATTGATGGACATCTGATCACAAAGATTTTGAGCAAAGAACTCAAAGAACGTTGAGAACTGCGTTCTGCACTTTAAAAAACTCACAAGTCACCTGCAAGTCACGACATGTTTCTCCCATTTTTCTCACATCCTCAGGAAGGACCATTGGGGTAGAACAGCGTATCACTACGGGCGCAATAATGAAGACATTCTGCAAGTCTTCGAACGGTGCCTGGGCTCATGGCAGAGGTTACGAACCACTGATGGACTAGTGATTTGGATATGAAAATGTTGGGAGAACAATGGGAAAACCCCCAAAATCCCTTATTTAATGATCATGTTCAACATGTTTCCGGAATAGATTCTAGATTAAGATAGAATATAATTGATTGCCATGTTTGGGGTCGCCAATGACTTGACCCATATCCGCTAGCCCAACTTTTTCATGGAGTGCATCCTCAACTTGGCGAATTTGCACCTCCATTCTTGCAGGACCAAAAGCCACAAGAATTGGGCAAAACAACCAAAAATCATCAAAAATCTGGATAAAACATAACCTATTATACCGGCCTCAATGCGACGTCACTGGAATATGGTTAGGATTCGGGTAACTATCTCCAAAATAGCCTCAGGTCAGTGAAGTGTTATAGTTTATTCAGAAAATTGGATAGTTTAATAAATAGACTAACGCCCGCGTGACGCCGACCCCCTGTTTAAGGGGCAAGTTTTTTGCGATGTTTGAGCCTTGGGCAAGCTGGTGTGAAGAGTTCCTGGAAGCTTGTGGCAACCTCTCAGGGCTGGGCGAAACGTGCCAACCAAAGTTTCGAAACCCGATAGAAAGGAGCTTTTGGAGCTGAAGCTGCAGGACTTTAGAGACCCTATATAGAAACCAGCACCTTTTAGAGGGTCGGGGTTTCGCTTGGAGCGCCGGAAAGTGGATCGCTTCAAGCGCCGGAAAGGGGATCGCTTGGAACGCTTAAAAGTGACACGTACAGAAACATAAGAGATGCATAGTGCTAGGGCTACATATATACACAGAGACATAGACACATAAATGGACACATTCATACGTGCCTACACGCTGAAGCACTGAAGCACGCACGTAGTGACATTGATCCAGGTACACATTCCACGCGATCCGCCTTCCGGCACTCGAAGTGATTCTGCTCTCCGACCCTCTCAGTGTTCCACAGTATTTGCGTTCGAGTACATCCATAGGTCATGCTTTTGCATCTGCCTGATTGCGACACATACAGACATAGATACATGGGTACATGCATGCATGCAGTACATTGCATTGCATTACGTTACGTTACATTACATTACATACTTACTTACATACATACATACACATGCATACACATGCATACATGCATGCATGCACGCATGCATACATGCATACATGCACACATGCATACATGCACGCATGCACACATGCATGCATGCTCACTTACCTAGACACCACCATACAGAAACACAGACACCGCGTGCGCAATGACATGCATACCTACATATCTACATACCTACCTGAATACATGCAGACATGCATACATACACATAGCTTCCAGAAAAGGGGGTTACAAAGAGACAGACAAACAGACAAACAGATAGACAGACAGACAGACAGACAGACATAAATACATGCATGGATGATCATGGATGCATGCAAGCATGGTGGCATGCATGCACATATACACAGCGAACGATGATGAAAGTGCTGTGCCTGTGCCCGCAGGAACATGGACGTTATTGTCCCACCCCACCCCACACCACCCGAGCCACCCGACCGCAAGTGAGTTATTTTTTCGCACTGGGCGCGCAAGTGAGTGAAATTTCGGGTGCGCAAGTGAGCGCGTGACCGTGTCCCTAAGTTGAAACCCAAAGGTCTCATTCTCTGGTGGTCTAACTGATCCACGTTTTGGTGCCCTAAGTGATCCCATGGTGCTCTAAGTGATCTGGTGCTCTAAGTGATCCGCTTTCCGGTGCTTTCAATGATCCGCGAACCCTTATAGAGACCCTATAGAAGCAAGGTTGGTGAACCTAGCAAAGTTTGGACCCTGGCCACCTGGAGCTGAAGCTGCAGCAGTTTCGCAACCCTTGGCAACGGGCTGAAGCTGCAGCGAAGCTTTGCAGGGCTGCGCGACAGGCGCCAACCAGCAGTTTCGAAACCCTATAGAAAGCAGGTTTTGGAGCGGAAGCTGCAGCACTTTAGAGATCCTAGAGAAACAAGGTTGTTGAACCTAGCAAAGTTTGGACCCTGGCCATCCGGAGCTGAAGCTGCAGTTTTCAAAACCCTATAGAAAGGAGGTTTTGGAGCTGAAGCTGCGGCACTTTAAAAACCCTAGCAAGTTTGGACTCTGGCCGGCTGGAGCTGAAGCTACAGCAGTTTCGCAACCTTGGCAACGGGCTGAAGACAGCGAAGCTGCAGCAGTTTCGCAACCCTTGGCAAGGGGCAAAGGAGGGTTTGGAGCTGAAGCTGCAGCACCTTAGAATCAGAGACCCCACACTTTAATAATGAATTTTAGAAACCGTATAGAAACAAAGTTGGGTTTGGACCTTGGACACCTGGAGCTGCAGCAGTTTCGCAACCCTTGGCAGCCAAAGTTTGCACAGCTGGGGCCGCAGCGAATGTCGCACACCTACAGTATCCCAGGCGCCGCCCCGCGTAGGCCAAGGCTAGGCAGGGGTCGGCGGATAATGTTTCATATCGAAGAATATCTCTGTTCTTCCGGTCCCATCAATCTCTCCAGTGAGGTGTGCTTGTACGCCATCTTCTCCACGTTTCAAACGTGGAACAAACTTGCAAAGGACAGAGGTCTGTAGTTCTTGGCTGTGACGATGATTCGCAAACTCAGTCAATGTGCTCAACGCGCGGTAAGCAGAAAAAAAAAACGCAGTACCACCTCGTGTAAACTTGTAACGCATCCTACAAATGGCTCTGGGTGTTGTGATCCATCAAATTAACGTCAAGAGATAGAAACGCGAACTGCAGGTGCAGAGCTAGGAGAATCCTTCACCCTCCAAAGCAGCATCAGCCCGGAAAAATCCTTTGGTAATCAAAGTTGCGAGTGACGGCAACTACTACATGGCAATGTCTGGACTGTTCCAGCAGCAGTTCACGATACATCTTCCAGCCCTCCAGGACCCCGCCACCAATCGGTTTCGAGGAGTTCTTTGCCAAGGTCGAACAAGATCCCCTGGTTTCGTCACCAAGTGCCTCGACCCCAAACCAGCACACCAAGAGCTGGTTTTGCCAGCAAATCTCGGAAGGAGTGGCGGGCAAAGATGAATTCAACTGGAAATGGTATACAAGATGTACCGTATGCCATGAATCCGTATGATATGTCATTGAACATCATGATATATCCAGTGACCCCAGGAATATCTAAATATGACATAGTTCCTTAGCTCAAGAGGTGATCAAGATAGACTATGGCCTCCCGGGCCACATTTCATGATGATCATCCAATAGGGGTTCCTATTCTCAAACACAGCCAGAAAAGATCCCTGTCAGATCTTATCAGATCCTGTCATCTTAAATCTTGTCCATCTTGGTTTGTGGGCAAGATGTCCATTTGTATTACACATTCTGTCCGCTCTATTGAATTTAGAGAGGAATCCTCCGTAACATGTTATAATTTGCTCCTGAGACCTTCTAGCTGTAAAACTACACTATTCTTGAGCCATACTTAGTCTATACCAGTAGTACCGCACAAGGCGGTGGCGGAAGTTTCAAAAATAGGAAACCTATAGGAGAGATTGGTTGTTGTGAATCAGGGATGGCAGAGCGAATCCACTGATGGACCGAAAGGTGGTTGGAGTTGTGTTTGCTGGAATGGTTGCAATGGTTGCAGTGGTCACCTCACCCACAACTGCTGGATGTAGTGTGTTGTACTGCAACTGTAGTTGTAGTTGTAGCGTAGTGGAGTTGTAGTTGTGGTGTAATGTAATTAGTGTAGTGTAGTTGCAGTCATATAGTTGTAGCTGTAGTTGTTTTGTAGTTGTAGTTGTAGTTGTTGTAGTTGTTGTTGTTGTAGTTGTAGCTGTAGTTGTTGTGTGGTTGTAGTTGTTGTGTAGTGTAGTAGTAGTAGTAGTTGTTGTTGTTGTTGTAGTTGTAGTTGTTGTTGTTGTTGCTGTTGTTGTTGTTGTAGTTGTAGTTCTAGTTCTAGTTGTAGTTGTAGTTGTTGTGTAGTTGTTGTAGTTGTAGTTGTTGTAGTTGTAGTTGTAGTTGTAGTTGTTGTGGTTGGTGTTGTTGTTGTTGTTGTTGTTGTTGTGGTTGTTGTTGTTGCTGTTGCTGTTGCTGTTGTCGTCGAAGTTAGGGTAGTTAAGTTAGTGAAGTTAGTTAAGTTAGTCAAGTTAGTTAAGTTAATCAGTGTCTACTTTTTCGACATCTTCACGTCAAAAAAGGCTCAAAACCCTCAGTTTTTTATACTTTTGACTTCGAAATGTGCTTCGCGCCACAACGGCGTGCACTTTTTCGACACTTTTTCGACATCTGAACCTCCAAAAGTGGTCCGAGCATGGTGTGCTTTGTACATTTTGACTTCGAAATGTGCTTCGCGCCACAACGGCGTGCACTTTTTCAACATCTCAACTTCCAAAAGTGGTCCGAACCTGGTGTGTTTTGTACATTTTGACTTGGAAATGTGCTTCGCGCCACAACGGCGTGCACTTTTTCAACATCTCAACTTCCAAAAGTGGTCCGGAGCTGAGGTGTTTTGTACATTTTGACTTGGAAATGTGCTTCGCGCCACAACGGCGTGCACTTTTTCGACATTGCAACTTCCAAAAGTCGTCCGACGCTGAGGTGTTTTGTACATTTTGACTTGGAAATGTGCTTCGCGCCACAACGGCGTGCACTTTTTCGACATTGCAACTTCCAAAAGTGGTCCGAAGCTGAGGTGTTTTGTACATTTTGACTTGGAAATGTGCTTCGCGCCACAACGGCGTGCACTTTTTCGACATCGCAACTTCCAAAAGTGGTCCGACCATGGTGTGTTTTGTACATTTTGACTTGAAAATGTGCTTCGCGCCACAACGGCGTGCAATTTTTCATCTCTCATCTGGCCAGCTGGCTCCGCACCCGCCGCTTTAGCGAGCCTACTTTTCGACTCTCCGGAGCCCCAAATCATTGGAAAAACACAGTGTTTCGCGACTTTCCTACCTTTTCGCGCATCTGCATCTTCTTTCTTCTTACTCTTTCTCTTCTACTCTTCTTTCTTCTAATCTTTCTCTTCTCTCTGCCTCTTCCCTGCTCTGCTTTTCATCTGTCCATATTGTCGGAAGTTTGACTTCTAAACTTCCTTCGATAATATCTCGTATATGTCTGAAATATTTTATAGTATTGCTGGCCTAAATTCTCCTATGTCTTGCAATTCGTCCCCGATCTTGGTTGCTTCAAATCTGGCAAGTTTGTTCAAATCCCCAGCTTGTTGGTTTATCTGCCAGGAAAGCATGATTAGGAAGTGGGAAAAATAAAGTAATCAATAGTAGGCAGTTCAATCATGTTTGATCCCTATGAAAATAAGGCTGCTCTTGCTGAGTTTCTCCTTGAAAGTTCGGGTTGTTTCATTGGTTCTTCCGAGGTAATGAGTCCTTCTGGCTGCACACTTTGGGGCCTCGGCAATTACGACAGCCCAAGCCCCGACATCGACGTGGCATCTTGGCACCAAGGAAGTTTTTTAAATCAAAAGCGACGATAGGGGGGGTTAACCAACAAACGTATATAGCGTTTATAGTACAACCCCCAAAATGATGTTTAATGATTTTTAGCAAAATATTTTTCATGATGTATCACGATCTTAGTAGGATGTTACTCTTCGGCATTTTTTGGGGGGGTGCTATAATCATGGTTAATCCTACCTGGAATGATTTTGCCAAAAGACCTTCATATTGGAGGTGGCTGACCATGATCCGCATCCCGAGGAAAATGGAGCTCCAGCAGCCCACCAGCACATTCCAGGACCAGCACAGCAACTGGAATGGAATCGATTTCCACCAAGACATCCCTGTGAGGCATAAGTTCACCCAACTTTAGGATAAGAGTGACGCTCGTAAGCCACAGTCTGATGCCACTGGGAGACCTTTGAATATTTACATTGTGTAGTGTGACGTAACGTGATACAATGTACTGTACTCTAAACACACACACACTCACACACACACGCACAGGAAAAAAAAACACATAATATGTATACACGAATTGCATACATACATTAGTTACATACAATACCTTGCATCACTTTACGTTACATTGCATTACATTACATACACTACGCTACGCTACACTACTTCACACTACAGACAAAACACTACAGACAATACACTACAGACACCACACTACTTTGCACTAAACTACTTTACACTACACTACACTACACTACGTTACATTGCAATACATTACATTACACTCCGTCGCATTGCATTCCATTCCCTTACCTGACATTACATTACACACATAAGACTTGTGCATATATACATATATACTTATTTATTTATTTATCGGTATACTTTGTTTAAGAGTTCGTCTTTTCTTGTGGTTTAAGAGTTCCAGGTTGGGACGCAGTTGAACAAGAACGTTATTAGGTTGCTTGTGAAACATGCGCAACTCCTATGAAACGTGCAATAATCCTATGAAACTTGCATATTTCTATGAAACGTGCATAACTTCTTTGACAGTTGCACAACTTCTATGAAACGTGCACCTCTATAAAACACTGCAAAGAACTCTTGTGTATTCCTAAAGCCTCATCGTTCTAAAACATTGTAATAAACTCTTGAAAGGAGTATACCAATATATATATATATATACATATATGTGTGTGTGTGTGGATGCCAAGCATCAGAAAAATGTGGGTTGAACTGCCATGCCTCTGCAGCAACCTCAGATGGGATTCGGTTCGGGGGATCAAAATCGGTTTTGACACAGCACTTCGCCAGTTTGGCCACTTGTGCAATGGTGATTTTCATTTGAACCAAGGTGAACCAAACGGAACCGAGAGTGGAAATTTTTGGGCTTGGTTTAATACTGGTTGAGGATCGATGACCTTGTTTGTCCATGGCAATCTTGCCAACAGACCAATCCATCAGGTGTAACATAAAAGTTCTCCAATGACCTGGATGAAAACCCAACGCTATGAGAACTGCCAGTTCCACCGTGCCCGGAGTGGCCAGTCTGGTGGGGTGCCGTTCTGCACAGGGCAATCCAGATAGGAACAGGAGATGCATCCCTGAAACGTGGTCAGCCGCCCGTTGATGGGAAAGGTCAAAATCAAGATGTGTTCTATCCGACTCTATCCACAGATAGGGTTTCAGGCTGTTTGCCTTCATGTAGCAATCAGTTGGCCAAATATGTTGTCCCCTTCTCATGCTTGTTTTGTCCTCCCCAAAGAGAAAACTTGCTCATTTAGTATAAGCCCAATTCCAAGTTCAAAATGGTCTATGTCGTGTTCCCATTTTGATATTTTTGCTGCTCAAAAGGTCCCATGGCCATGATTGACCTTGTCCCACTGTGGCGCTCCATGTCAGATATATGAGGGAGGCATCACATGGTGCATATTGGTGTTGTTCCCAACATTGTTTTTTGGAAACCCACCATCAAAATCTGCACTTCGCCGGAAGTTTCGCGCTGTGGCCGCAGGGCTCGTTGCCTTTTTCTTGCTGGCATTTGAATCTTCCATTGAGTAATTCAAATAGACCTGCCAGTCTGCTGACCCATCGGTAAGAGAAAAGTGTCCTGCGATGTCCTGTGAAATTTGGGGATTTTACGGCAATGGACCAGGAAAATCGTTTGGAATTGAAGTGGTCCATAGTGGTCCTCATTTGGGGTGCTTTGCATTACTGTGCCATGGGTCGTGAAGGTCGTTCTTCTCCAGCGGGTTTCATTGCTCGGGCAGAGCGACTGGAATACATCGAATTCACCATTCCTGTGATTTGCGCAGGCCCCCAGATGATCTCCATTCAAGTTTCTGCCAAAAACGATCCACAGAGAAGGGTCTCATTGAAGAAAGGTCAGTAAAGTGTGAACAAGTTGACAAGTCATTGAAATCATGCAGAGACCAGCTCTGTTTTGGTTAAACTCCAAGCTCACCACAATTGGGGTCCATAGAAGCCTTTTTACCACCCAGTGAAACCACGTCATCTTGGAGGTGAAACCCAGATGAACTTTGAATGAAGTGACCGAAAGCCTTTTGAAAAAGCAACTGTAATTCAAGTGCTGTTATGATCGGATGATCATGGATGATCCTGCATGATCATTACCACTAGTACCGTACAAGGCGGTGGCGGAAGTTTCAAAGATAGACAAGTATAGGAGAGGTGGGTTGTTGTGATGCGTGGATGGCAGAGCGAATCCACTGATGGACCGAAAGGTGGTTGGAGTTGTGCTTCTTGGAGTGGTTGCAGTGGTCAACTCATCCACAACTGCTGAATGTAGTCTGGCGTGGTGTAGTGTAGTTGTAGCTTTAGCTGTAGCCGTAGTGTAGCTGTAGCTGTAGTATAGTTGAAGTTGTAGCTGTATCGTAGTTGTAGTTGTAGCTGTAGTGTAGTTGAACTTGTAGTTGCAGCTGTACTTGTAGTTGTAGTTGCGGTGTAGTGTAGTGGTAGTTGTAGCTGTATCGTAGTTGTAGATTGTAGCGTTGTTGAAGTTGAAATTGTAGTTGTAGTTGTAGTTTGTGGCTGTAGTTGTGATGTAGCGTTGTGTTGTGTAGTGGTAGTTGTAGTGTAGTGTAGCGTTAGCTGCAGTTGTAGTTGCAGTTGCAGTTGTAGTTGTAGTCGTAATGTAGTTGTAGCGTTATTTGTAGGTAGTTGTAGTGTTAGTTGTACTTGTTGTTGTAGTTTTCGTTCTGGTGCATTTGAAGTTGAAGTTGTGGTTGTAGCTGTAGTTGTAGTTGCAGTGGTAGTTGTCATTGTCATTGTACTTGTAGTTGCAGTTGTAGCGTAGTGGTTGTTGTAGTTGTAGTCGCAGTGTTAGTTGTAGTGTAGTTGTAGTTGTAGTGTAGTTGTAGTTGTAGTTGTAGGTGTTGTTGTAGGTGTTGTTGTAATTGCAGTTGTAGTTGTGGTGTTTTGTTGTAGTGTAGTGTGGTGCGGTTTAACGTCCAAAAGTGGTCCGAACGTGGTGTCTTTTCACAATTTGACCTCGACATGTTCGCGCCACAACGGCGTGCACTTTTTCATCATTTCAACTTCCAACAGTGCGCCCAGCATGGTGTGCTTTGTACATTTTGACTGCCAAATGTGCTTCGCGCCACAACAGCGTGCAATTTTTGATTTCTCATCTGGCCAGATGGCTCCGCACCCGCCACTTTAGCGAGCCTACTTTTCGACCCCCCGGAGCCGCAAAACATTGGAAAAACGCAGTGTTTCGTGACTTTTCTACCTTTTCACGCACCTGCATCTTCTTTCTTCTGACTCTTTCTTTTCTCTGATCTTCTTTCTTCTTCTCTTCTCTTCTCTTCTCCGACTCTCGTGCACCTGCATCTTCTTTCTTCTGACTCTTTCTCTTCTTTGATTTTCTTTCTTCTTCTCTTCTTCTCTGACTCTTCCCACCACTGCTTTTTCATTTGTCCATATTGTCAACAGTTTGACTTCTAGACTTCCTTCGATGATTATGCATGATCCGTGATATGACATTCTTCGTGTTGGAATCTGCTCTGGTTTCTTGTCAGCCAAGACTTTGCTACGTAATGATGGTGATGGTCATCCTAGTTCCAGCTTCACGGGCGCAATTCGTATGTCCACTTGGGCTGTTCCATCATTCGCCTAAAGATCAAGCCGAGAAACTGATTGGCAGATCTGCATGTGCTACCTCGTGTAGTCCCTTTGGGAGAGATTTTCCCGCAGTGGACATGCTTGGAAAACACCTGTGACAACTTTCATGTGACCGCAATTCATCCAAGAAATAGTGATCGCCATGAAGAACATAGGCCGTAACATAGGCAAGGCTTCAAACTTCGGAGAGGTGGGCACAGCAACGGAACACACCGCTTGGAAGTTCTGAACTGTGTGGATCTCAATCCGAAGGGATATTCACTACTTACGGGCACGGAACCGTACACATCGTAGCTTTAGAGTTTCCTCTAGAGAAATGCAGTGGAACCAATCGGAACCAAGCAATGCAATGCCGCAATGCATGATTCCATCGATCAAGCTCGATCACGCACCCATTTTGTTGACGTCACCAAGGTCTGTTATGGTGTCTCCCCGTTTGCATTGACCATATCATATTTCCACCCTTGGCCTCAGCCATTGTCGGTTACATGGCGGAAGTACCATAGCAGCAGATTCTCTCTGCAGGCGCACCTTTTCATTGATCAACCAGGGTTTTGTCTCCGGAGTTGAAATACCCCGGGCGAACCACTGAAGATCCAACCTATCAATACTGATCAGGCGTGTTCCACAACGGATGTTTTCCATTGCACACTGCGAAACGTTGTCCTGCTGCTCTGTCACCCCCCCAAAAAAGGGACTGAGAAATGCAGCGCGTTGCGCGGACGCAGAGGTCACTAGTTTTCCACATGGGATTTTGGATTTTCCAAAGCCTTACTCGCAGCGTAGAAATGCCCCGTTCCCTGCGCTCTGAGACTTTAAGAGGGTTCCTTTCCACCACGCTTACTAACTGTTTCAGGTTAGCTCAGATTGTTTTGCTGTGGTAAAAGTAGTCAAACCATGAGCGACCTAAATGCATGACCTTCAGGGACTTGCAGCTTTGGGCTGGATTTTGGTTGCCGAAATCCCGGACAAAGCCCCGATTCTGAAAATCCCTTCTTCAAAATTTGATTCACCGCAGATGCCTGACAAATGGATTAGGCATCTTTGTTGATCGATCAAATTTTCGGGGTCAATGCCCTGTGACTTGACCTATCTTGAATCCCAATTTCTGAGTGGACTTTATCTTGGCCTCTTGAACACCGATTCAGCTGCGGTTTCATAAACTCACGGTTGGAGTGGCCACGGGCAGATGGGCCGCGGTCAAGCCCAACAGGCTGATTTTGAGTATCATGACTCCATTGAACCA